TCAGGCTCAGAGAAATGGGATTGGGCAGAATTTGGCTATATTTTTTATATAAATGCACTGTAATGGATTGTCTTTCTATTCCATTATGGTACACTTAGTACATCAACGAGTGTGTAAATCTTTTCATTATTACTTCAAACTTCCGTTATTGCATATGGCAATCTGTCAGAGTTTCTTTTAAAACTTAGTTTTGATTGACTTTCAAGTGCCATATTTACTTCAGTAACATTCTGTGACACAAGAAGTTATTGTTTTTTAGTCCAAGAAGAATATAAATCTTATTCCCATCATTTCCTTGCTTAACTTTCTGTCTATAGTTACAGGGACATCTGCTCTGGTGAATTGTTCTGCATTTCTTGATAAATTATTAATTTAAAAGTTGACATAAAATACTTTCTTTTATGTAGATTGCAGGAAAGAAAAATTATTTCTGTATTAAAGCTGATATTACTTAGGAAATACCTTTTCTTTGTTCATGAATTCAATGATTTTAAATAATGAATAACCTTTCTGAGAAAAATCTTTTACAAAAATAAATAAAATTTGCAGAATTACTCCCCCTTGATCCCATTTTCTAGTTTTCTTAGCATATCAAAGATACCTTTTGCGATAAAAAGGTGTATTTCACATAGAAATAGTTTTGTACTCTATATACAAAACACTATCCTTGTCAAAAGGCTTCTGTATGATTTCCACTAGAACAAGTGCCCTCTATGTATAAACTAAATGGTCCATTTTCAGCCAGTCTTTTGACAATGTGTGATCTGGTTGTGATAAAAGAGTTCCAAAGCTATGTATGTATCTAAAGAGCATGGCCTACAGTGGAAGTCAATTTTGTTTATGGCTGCTGATGGGAGTCTGATCGCGTGCTCTGTCTCATTTTGCCATCATGAGAAGTGAGACATCATGCATTATGAAGTGTGGTTGATATGTATACCGAGATGATGGCATTATGTATGATGTATTGAGTCTGTCAGATTTTGGAGATGGAGTACCACTTTGTCTTTGACAGTGAATTGTTGCTGTAGTTTTCTGTTATAACTGTAGTGGTCTAGTGATGCCAGAATATGTAGATCAGTTTCTCATCAATTAACATTAAGGTTACCGATACCCTATATACTCTATGCTACACAGAGCACCATGACCTTGATAATATCGTCACTTCATGACTTGTAATTAAAGCAGGTAGTTAATGTATCCAGTACATCTCTGATCACTTTATTAATTCCCAGAGAGCTAATTTTAAGATCACAACCTTCATTCATTGTTATATATTTTCTCTCACTGATTAAAATCTTGAGGTGACATGTCAGATTCTTTTTCCAGCAAAATACTCCATAAATATTAATGCTTTCATCTTTTTGAGTTTTATAAACCTCATACTTGGTGTAAAATATGTGTAGCAATTAGGATACATTCTTGCACTTGATTAGGTGGATGTAAGAACAATGGACAGGTGGGAAGGATTTAAGAATAGTGTAGAGGTGGGGAAGATCTTTAAAAAAGTCAATAAAATGGGAAGAGTTGAGGAAGCTTAAAGAATAGTGCAGAGATGGGAAGGATCTAAGAACAGTTGAAAAAACAGTGGAGAGGTGAGGAGGATCTAAGAATAGTCAGTAAAACAGTGTAGAGGTGGGGAGGATCTAAGAACAGTCAGCAAAACAATAGAGAGGTGGGGAGGATCTAAGAACAGTCAATTAAACAGAGGAGAGGTTGGGAGGATCTAAGAACAGTCAGCAAAACAATAGAGAGGTGGGGAGGATCTAAGAACAGTCAATTAAACAGAGGCGAGGTTGGGAGGATCTAAGAACAGTCAACAAAACTGGAGAGGTTGGGAGGACCTAAGAACAGTCAATTAAGCAGAGGAGAGGTGGGGAGGATCTAAGAACAGTCAGCAAAACAATGAAGAGGTGGGGAGGATCTAAGAACAGTCAACAAAACAATGGAGAGGTGGGGAGGATCTAAGAACAGTCAATAAACAATAGAGAGGTGGGGAGGATCTAAGAACAGTCAACAAAACAATGGAGAGGTGGGGAGGATCTAAGAACAATCAATAATTGACCTGTATTAATTGTCTGAATTCATTCAGTATAGAGGGCTGTCAAATTATTCACCCTGAGCCTAGAAGTTATGCTTTTAGGAGATATTCTTTTCCTATATTTAGATATATTGTTTTATTGGAGCATGGGGAATTGAAAGAAATTATGTTCATAATCAAATAAGTAAATGAACAGTTTGTACATTGACTGAAGAGATATCTGGAAGTCTAGGTTTCTCTGAACTTGTGGTATAATATGTAGACATTTGATGTCATTTAGCTGTTGATTATTGTGAAGTCCTCGATCTACGTGGCTGTTGGATGATATTTAGGAGTATTAAGAATGTAAGAGATAAAAAATGACCTGCTTTATTTGTTGCTGGTCCAAGCCTGAAAACTTCACAAAGGTAATTCTGAGACTACATAGGAGCCAGATATATAAACCAGTGATTGTTAGTACAGGTATTCCTGAGACTACACAGGAGCCGGATATATAAACCAGTGGTTGTTAGTACAGGTAATATTGAGACTACATAGGAGCCGGGTATATAAACCAGTGGTTGTTAGTACAGGTATTCCTGAGACTACACAGGAGCCGGGTATATAAACCAGTGATTGTTAGTACAGGTATTCCTGAGACTACACAGGAGCCGGATATATAAACCAGTGGTTGTTAGTACAGGTATTCCTGAGACTACACAGGAGCCAGATATATAAACCAGTGATTGTTAGTACAGGTATTCCTGAGACTACACAGGAGCCAGATATATAAACCAGTGATTGTTAGTACAGGTAATATTGAGACTACACAGGAGCCGGGGTATATAAACCAGTGGTTGTTAGTACAGGTATTCCTGAGACTACACAGGAGCCAGATATATAAACCAGTGATTGTTAGTACAGGTATTCCTGAGACTACACAGGAGCCAGATATATAAACCAGTGATTGTTAGTACAGGTATTCCTGAGACTACACAGGAGCCGGATATATAAACCAGTGGTTGTTAGTACAGGTATTCCTGAGACTACACAGGAGCCAGATATATAAACCAGTGATTGTTAGTACAGGTATTCCTGAGACTACACAGGAGCCGGATATATAAACCAGTGATTGTTAGTACAGGTATTCCTGAGACTACACAGGAGCCGGATATATAAACCAGTGGTTGTTAGTACAGGTATTCCTGAGACTACACAGGAGCCGGGTATATAAACCAGTGATTGTTAGTACAGGTATTCCTGAGACTACACAGGAGCCGGGTATATAAACCAGTGATTGTTAGTACAGGTATTCCTGAGACTACACAGGAGCCGGGTATATAAACCAGTGATTGTTAGTACAGGTATTCCTGAGACTACACAGGAGCCGGGTATATAAACCAGTGATTGTTAGTACAGGTAATATTGAGACTACACAGGAGCCGGGGTATATAAACCAGTGGTTGTTAGTACAGGTATTCCTGAGACTACACAGGAGCCGGATATATAAACCAGTGATTGTTAGTACAGGTAATATTGAGACTACACAGGAGCCGGATATATAAACCAGTGGTTGTTAGTACAGGTATTCCTGAGACTACACAGGAGCCGGGTATATAAACCAGTGATTGTTAGTACAGGTATTCCTGAGACTACACAGGAGCCGGGTATATAAACCAGTGATTGTTAGTACAGGTAATATTGAGACTACACAGGAGCCGGGGTATATAAACCAGTGGTTGTTAGTACAGGTATTTCTGAGACTACACAGGAGCCGGATATATAAACCGGTGATTGTTAGTATGGGTAATTCTGAGACTATAACATAAGAGCCAGATATATAAACCAGTGATTGTTAGTACAGGTAATATTGAGACCACACAGGAGCCAGATATATAAACTAGTGATTGTTAGTACGGGATTTTTAGCTAGTATAGCTTAATTAGTGTTAAACACATCTTTTTGCTATTTTATATACTGTATACAGTAAAATTTTTGCCCCTGTTTTGTTTTTGCCCCTTTCACCTTGTCACCTGTGGGCAAATATAAAAGGGGGCAAATTCAAAGAAGTCAGCTATATCTCTTTAATTAAGCTAACTATGTCTGGACCATTATAAATAGGAGCAAAGTTGTTTGAAAGCGTGAAAGGGCGAAAATAACACTGAGCAAAAATAACCCTGTATACAGTATTTATTTAGCAATATGTCATTTCTCTGAATCATTTACGTCTGGGAGTTATTATTAGTTCTCATAATGTTTCAAGTAAACCTTTGATTATCAAAATTACGTGTTGCTTATAAATTATACACTGCACGTTAAACTTGTGAAGAAATTTAATATACCAAGAATCACAGTTTTATTGAGAATAGTTTCTAGATGATGCACAATCTGGCAATTCGGAAATCCTCCTTTCATTAATAAAATTTGTTTATAGAATTCGGCAATAAGCCTGACCTCTGACCCTCTCACAGCTGTAATTCTTAGAATACATTCCAATAAAGTTCCCTTAGTTATGTCATCCATCAAGAAAGTGGTTCCAAACAAGGAACTTGTAATTGGTGATGGTCAGGTCAACAAGATGATGTTTATGTATGTGAAAATTCTTTTCCACTAAATGCCATTTGATAAGTGCAGTATTGTTGCTGGCACTAGTTTGCCCTGAGACTGTGTTCTGATCCAGTAGAAACATCTTGGGTAACTCCTTTCTTAGAATGAGTAATGTCCATGGACGACCCTACAAGAGTATCCAGTGTGAAAAATCGCAAAGTTTGACATTGGCTTTGTATTTACTGTGTATATCAATCATTTTAAAATTTGTCGTTTTCATAGTACGGAAATACAGAATCACAAATATATGTTCATCACAAAATTTCAAATGAAGACAATATACTTACACTAAACTAATCCCCTCTAGGCTCTAACTTTTTTTTTTTTCCTCAGAAAACGAATTTAACAGTCATGATGTTCTTTTTTCTTCTTTTAGACCAAGAAAGGAAGTTTGATAAAGAAAAAACAGAATTCACAAGAAACTGAGGTGGAAGAGACAGTGGAATGTGAGTTATACAACTTTAGAAATCTGATACAAGTTGTTTTATTACACATTTTGATATATTTCTCAATAGAATGTATAAAGAGTACCCGGGCATTTACAGAACCATATCTGCCCACATTGTAAATGCCTACTGGACTACTTTTGTGATTATGACATCATTATACCTTCTCCCATCTCTCCATTCTTAATGACATCACGTACATGTATATTTGACATCACAGATATTATGTTGTAAGGATGTTTTATGACCAGAAATTCAGAGAAATTCCATTCATATGAATTTTAAAAAAAATGTACTGGTATTAAAATATGTAATAAAAATGTTCTTGACTGAATGTCAGAAAATATTCTCTCCCAAGGTTTGTGCTTGGATGTAGACCTCGCAAGTTCATTCTGCTTTACTGCGCAAAGACCTTGGGTGGGTATATTGCCCAATATACAGTCAATAACCTTAACAAGTCCCCTCAGTCTTCCAAGCCCCAGGTTTAATACAAACCAGAAATAGATGGTATAGAATCTAGATATCTGCAATGATACAAGTTCTTGTAGAACTTAAATAAAACAAGTTATGGTTGTCAGAAAGTTTCCCCTAATCTTCAGAATAAATCTTCAGAACTATAGAGTACTTGGACCTTCACTGTCATTCATTGATATGAACTATATTTACCATACTCACCTAATACAAGATATCTTGACCTAGTGAGTTGTTAAGAATAGTGGAAAATCAGTTTTTAACGTACATCAACCTTATTTTCAACTTAAATCGCAGTCATTAATTTTAGCTCTGAGAGGATCAATTAAGTTTTGAGTTCAAATTCTTGCTGCTACAACTGTTTGTGCCATCTCCAGTATTATTCAGTAAATATTCAGATATGGAGATAACATCTTGTAATGTGAATCTCCTGTTAATTTAGTAATTTAAACAAGCTCAAGAGATTTCATGGAATTGTATAATTGACCCTAATATGTTTGTCAAGGATTTAGATTAAGTACGATTTTCCAGTAAGTTGTTTTAAGAAGTTAGTCAAGAAAGGGAACATTTATTTTCATTAACTTTTTTGTGCTTTGTTACGACTTTTCAAATTATCAGAGAAGATTTCAAAAAATACATCACTGCCTGCTGTACACTATTAACTTGAAGTATTACTGAAAAGTAAACAAATTCTTCTGACTTTTCCAGGGTCTTAGTGTACAAAGGTCATTGTCAGGGTTACAATACTTGTACTTTCAACAAGGTGGTTTAGATTTGAGTGTTTACCCCCTTAAGTTACTATTTTTTTATTGTAGGGTTTTATTAATATGTGGACTGTTATATATGTTTATTGTGGGATGCGTAGGCAGCGATGACGCACAATAGTGATGGAGAAATCATTTAAATGTTCTTACCACTAGATCCCCCCTTGTGTTGTTGGCAGAGAATTCTTAGCTGCATCTAATTCTGTCAGACCTTTGCTTTGTTGTGCATCGTTTGCTATTCATAGAAAACAGACACACAGACAAAAACAATCAGCACGCTTTTCACTTCCCTCGTAATAATCTAAGAACACTCATTTCAGGTTAATCCTTCCCTTTTTTTGTGTGCTGCTTTTTTAGATATATATTTTTGATTTTGTGTTTTAATAAACTTTGAGATCAAATATTAATTGGCAAATCATTTTAGAACCATAAATGGCATTTTGCTTACAAATAAATTGACCAAGGATTACTTATTAATCTGACATTTTCAGTGTTTTGAGCTCACCTGAGCAGTTGAACAAGTGAACTTTTCTGATTGAAATTTGTATATTGTCTGTCGTAGTTGTCATTGTTGTTAATCTTCTTCTCCAGAACCACTGGGCCATTTTCAACCAAACTTGACACAGAGCATCCTTAGGTGAAGGGAATTCAAATTTTGTAAAGGAAGGACCATGCAATGTTTCCAAGGGGAGATAATTGAGGAAAAGCCAAAATTAAATGGCCTCATTTAAAAATCTTCTCAAAAAACACTTGCCCAGAAAAGATGTAATTTATGTAAAATCTTCATTATATAGTGAATTAAGATACAATGGAAACATCCTTAGGTATCCTCCTTATCCATATGGCTCAGACATCCTCAGGTAGTGTAGGAGCTATTTTATATAAATCCACAATAATGAAGTCAATATTTTATGAAATTAAAGAGGTGAATTTATTTTTAAAATCTGATGATGAACAGCAGGGCCATAGTGGCTCAGGTGAGCACTGTGGTCTATGGGACTTTTGTCTTTGTTTTTATCATAAAATGCCTAGTGTAACTTACACCTCTCTCATTAAGTTTGCTGTTGTGCGTGATGTATAGTATAATAAACATTAATTATTTATCATTTGTTTCTATTGTAAAAATTTATTACTCATCAATATTTCCAAAAGCCAGTAAAAAAAATTTTTATAGATGAAAAAAAAAATCATTTACAAATATATAATTTATATGCAAAATTCACTATCAGTATAAATGTATGTTATCACTCTGTTCCATTCATAGACATCATATAGTATGAAGTTTATAGAGACATTAAAAAAATATATCATTTGGTGTTAACACAGCCAGATAGCATGTAGGCAGTGTTGTCAGATACAGCTCTTTGGTGAAGATAAAATCAGAGGAAATTCTACTGGCCAGATGTAAGTCTGCCTCCCACTGGGAGCAGAGCACCTGCTTGATTGAAGCCATACTGCTTCATGTTGTGCAAACTCTCCTGAGATGTTAACAGTAAATCTATTTATTGTAACTATCGATTGTTGATAGATGGTGTGGCACACAGTATTTCTGGTTCCTGTTTTGTTCGGTGCTTTATGTTTTTGGGTGGTATACATGTGTATAAGAAGAATTATGAAATTTACCTAATACCCATATGACCCAGTTGAAGAATATCCAATTTTAGTCGGGTCCTTAATTTTTGTAAGGAGATCCTCGACTTTCTCTGTTAATTAGGACCAAAATAATTCTAGTAAAATAATTTTACAGCTAGGTCTTGTGTTGTTATTAGAGTTAGTACTGTTTTAGTTTCACATGGCCCCTTACTCTGTGTCTATTTTTAGCTCACCTGAGCCAAATGTTAAAATGAAGTAGTAAAAATTGGGTGAGGTCATTGAAAAAATCTTCTGGTCAAGAACCACTAGGCCAGAAAAAATAAAAACTCAAGTGAAAGCTTCTTGACATTGTGTAGATTCAAATTTGCTCAAATAATGTCCCCAGGGTGAAAGGTTGAGCCACAATCTTAACAACAGGAGATCAAAGTTTTACATGGGAATATATGGGGAAAATGTTTAAAAATTGTCTCCTTAAGAACAGGATGTCCAAGATTAGACTAGTAATAATCACAGGCAGTCAGCCTTGAGGTAGTGCAGATAAAAATTTGATCAAATCCCCCCCCCCCCCCCCCTCCAGGATAGAATGGGGATACAATAGATGAGCAGTTTTACAATGGGAATATATAGGGAAAAATGTAAGTGCATTTTTTTGAAGAATAGTACAGCCATGATTAGTAATATAATTATGCAAAAAATGCAATCTCTACCCTACCCTAGCTCCCTACATTAGGGATTGTTTTACATGGGAAAATGTAGGGAAAATTTTGTCAAATTTTCTTTCAGTTTTCTTTCAGAAACAACAGGTCCATGATAAGTTACATTAATATTCAAGCATTCACAAGTAATGCAGAAACATGTCTGTTCAAACCAGGGCTCCTGGGGGAAGGGTGGGGACCCAGTAGGGGATTAATATTTTAAAAAGAAGTTAATAAAGATTTTATTGTTAAAAAATTCTTTTTAAAATTAGTAGGGTCACACTAAATCAATTTCCAAACTTGTATGGATTCATTTTTTTTTCTTCAATTAATAAATCCTGGTGTTCAAGTAATGCTAAAGTCAGTCAGCATATTTCACTTAGACTAAGAGTATGTTTATGTCTTCTGCAAACAGGAAGGCTATGTTAGACATATATACCAGACTGAGTAATGATATTGAAACGTCCCCAGGATGTGTTGATCCAAGTTAGGTTATGTCATGCCCTTTTGGGGCTAGAGTAGGGCCACAATATGAGATAAAGATTTTTCATGTGAATAAAGATGGAAAATTTTCTTTTTTAATCTTGTGATGAAGAACAGGAAGGCCACCAGGACTCTGGTGATCACTGTGGCCCTGGGGCCTCTTGTTTATCTTATTGGTATACTATCATGTTGTAAATTTTGAATTTACTAGGGGGAGATAAATGCAAAATTTACAACATGATAGTACCTTTGATAAATCAAGTCTGAACTCATGCACAATTGTACATCAGTGACATATTCAATATTTCAAACTTGCTAAATTACTTTGGGAACCAAATTTTTTGTTTTATTTCTTGATACAATTCTTATGATACTTTCAGCGGGAGAAATTGACCCAGTTTACAGCCTACTAAAGTGTGCTGCAGACCTTCCAAAGGTTGGTAAACCCAGCTGTGGGATCCATGCCCAGTGTTCAGGGCACCATTCTAACAAGGGGGACAGCAGCACCAGCACTTCCAAAACAACTAGTCCTGCCTCGTCAGGTGAGACACCTATACAACACAGAGTAGGGGTTACGTGTAGATCTATTGAAGGGTCGCTGTTGTCTGTCTGTCTGTTCAGCTGTCACTGTAGATATTACAGTTATAAGATAAACAAGTTATTTATATAATGCCTTCAAACTTTTAATCATTCCAGTTTTACAGTTCATTTTAGATCCAAATCTTTCATTTTCCCTGTTTTTCAATTCAATTGAAATGCAAAGATTTTTTTTTTTACAATTTAGTTTACTGTTTTTTTAATTTATTTAAATTAAGAAAACAGTGACTGTCACAGATAATTGCTGACAAGAAGCTTCCAATTGCTGTGAAGAAAAATAATTCATACAAAGATAGAAGGAATTGACACATACACACACTGTTCTCAAAGCAACCAACTCGCATACATAATATGTGTCTCAACAGAAATTTACCAATTACATGTATATCTATTGCTTATTTTCATAGAAACCAGAGAAATATGACATTTTCTCTGCAAATTTAGAGATTGCAGTGTGGCACGTGAAGATTTTGCTGAATCAATCATGTTAGACTGATATTGCACTAGTTTTTTTTTTCTTTTTGAATGCATTGGTTTGTAGCTATACCATATAAACTGATAAAGTGTGAATACTAACTTAAGGTAAACAAGAGGTACGTCTCCAAAGTGAAGATCTTGATATTCCTTGTTACAGTAACATATTAAACATACATATTTTATATAACACGTACCTTATACTTGATGTTGTGATTTTCTTTCTTACAGAGACTGGTGACTTTTTTTTTACCTATTATGACAAATTCATATGAAATTACTTGCTCTGTGTTTTATCTACATTTATTATTGACAATGAATAACACACTAACACCAGTTAACACATGACCACTGCAGTGTCTTTTTAACTTGATAGGTTTCAAAGAAAGAGCTCAACCATAATGAGGCCTGGCCAATCAGCAAACTTCTACAGCAAGCTTAATTGTGATTGGCTGCTTTAAGACTCTTTACAAGCAAGCTGATTGGCTATATATATATCTAATGCCAATCCATGCTCTAGTTTAATTGGCTGCTTTCCTGATTTGCTTGGAGGAGAAACTTCTGCTATTCTTCTTGTGTCAGAGTCGCGTTGTTTGCTTTATCAGTTTTTTGAGAAATTTCAGATTTTATAGGGACAGACACATCCTGTTGATGCAGCCTATTTTAGGAATGATTTAGGTACTTTAAAAATAATTAAAAAAAAGACATGCCAGGAACTGATGTCTGACTGTATTCATTTGTAGCCAGTTTTCTTTAGTAAACCCTTGGCTGGTTTTAAGATTAACTGAACTTGATTTTGTGACTTTAGTGGGTATTTTTTTAATACTGATATATTTTCAGACACTTTTTTGTGCACTCAATAACTTTATAAAATTAATAATAAACCTGCTTTTGTATATTTTATATGTTGCTTTTTCCCTGCTTGTCATTGTTTTAATTTGCTGCTTTGTATAGCTTTGCAATCTTATAAGCCCTGCAAACATGTTTTTTCCACAATATCATTTTTTAAAACCTGTTTTTTTTTGTTGTTGTTTGACTATATTAAGCTAAGTGTTGTTTTTAACAGGGAACTCTGATGTAAGCAATAGCTTAGGCAGTGATTTCAAGACCTACTACAAACAAACAAGTCCAGCCATCAAAAAACAGAACTCCTCTCCCTTCATAATTCCTTTCTGATATTTAATTGTGTCACAATTCCCGAAATTCATCAATCCAAAGACAGAACTATTTGTACATAAACTATTCAACTAGCATAGATCTTTGTTAGATTGAATTCAGTTTTTTTGTTAAATTTCTTGTTTAATTATTATTTCATATGTCTGTATATTGTATTTTATTATCGTTATTATTTTTTTCTTGGAAAAAAATGTTTTAATAAGCTATAACTTTTTTAAAGGTGAAATTAAAATTTTTTTTGTATCAAAACATTTAGTAAGTAAAATAAATGTTTGGTTGCATTTGACGGTAGAGGTACAAATTCACTTTAACTTAATTATCCTTCCCAGTTCTTGGTTTATTATTATTATTATTTAGGCTCCCATTATCTCTTTCTTCCTAGCCATCCAGACTTTTTTTTCTCATTAAGTGTATTTTATGCCTATTTTTGCATACGTTAAATTGGAAGAAACACTTATAATATTGCACCCTTTTCATGGTCAGTTTTCATAAATTTGAATGATTATAATTCCACCAGAATGCTTAATACAAATTTTACCTGCCTATATTCGAATTCCTTTAAATTGTTTCTGTGGTAACACAAAGCAAAATGGCATCATATTAGCACGACTTCTATTCATAGTCACATGCCAAACATACATGTACTCCCATGTTAATACTTTATGATTTAATGATTTAATCGCCACCTCACCCCACCCACAATATTTTCCCCAAACATCCTAGTACATTCCTCATGTTGTGTTCCCCTCCTATTATGTGGTTTATTTTTAGGACCAGATTGAACTTTTCGTAACACGCCTCTGTACTCTAGAATGTCAGTGTTAAATTTTTGTCAATATTCAGATAAGATCCGTATAGGGACAATTTTTGTAAATTTGCATATTTTAGTGTACTGTTAGAATTTGTTCATTAATTGAAAAATCATTTTATGCAGGGTGTTTGATTAGCTGTTGACACAGTTTTCAGTTTTGAGTATTTACAGTAATTTGATATATTTTTTTTTAGATCTTCATAGATATAGGAATGGATGAAAAAAAAATTTGAAGCTTCATAAAAGCTTAGGTTTTCATTTTTGGGGAATAGATCAGGTTTGCTTTAATAGTATACCTTATATGGACACCTTGCCACAAACGTTTTGATTTCCTATGATTCTATGTTTTAAATTTCTATTTCATTTCATTAAAAAAATCAACCATGCAAAATATAGTCTCTTGAGAGGCCATTTTTTTTTCACTTTTCAAGGTAAAAAATTTCTATTGAATCAGAGAGGATTTTATATCCAAAACTGGCTGTAAAATCTTTTTTGATTCAATAATCAGTTTTTTTATCTGCATAATTATGTTCAGAAAATTCAATTGTTTCAATGCAATAAGAGGTCCTTGCTAAGGCACTGTCTTAATTGGCAGTAATTATGTTGCAGCACCATCTTGGCAGTAATTGCATGGTGACTTGCTAAAGCACCACCATCTTAGCAGTTATTGCATGGTGGCTTGCTAGAGCGCCATCTCAGTATTTGGATGGGGTGGCTTGCTAAAGTACCCCTTAGGAGTGATTATGAGGTGGTGGGTTCTTTGGTAAGGCACCATCTTTGCGGTATTTATTTGTTGGCAGGGTATCTCTAAATGTTGTCCTCTCCCGTGTTAGTTAAAAGTGGTTACATTTTTCCATCGTTGTACAAATGCTTGTGAATCATGTTGATTCGTCATGTTGTTTTATTGGGTAACCAGTCCCACTATATTCTTCTTTAAATACATTTTTCCATTTATCATTATTGGTTTTTTTCTGTTTATATATATGTGTAATCTTTTTCAATAAGCATTTGTGATAACAGAGTGTATATATAGAAAACTGTATTTTATATAACCTCAATATTACACACACAGTTTTTTTTTTTGTCTGCACTGTTTTGTTTGTTTTTTTAACTGTTTTATGAAGTTTTTGGTTAACCTGTATACAACGTAGATATTGAATTTTCAGCAGAGTCAGTCAATAACCAGTGACACTGGAGATTTGATCGTTTTCTGTGTCCTAGCTGTGTTGTATGGAATATTACAGATTTATTTTATCAGATCTCATTTACGACTTGGGTCTTACTTAATAATTCCACAAGTGGACTCGTAGTGTCAAAGAATGCATGTAATATATCTTCTTAGTTTTTGTGTCCCCTTGTAATTGACACATCCATCTGTCTGTCTGTTTCCATTTATTTTATTATGAGTATTCCTTCATCATTTTTCAGAAGGGAAAGACTAGTTTTTATGATTGGTTTTGAAATATTTGTTGGAATTGAAAAGGATGAAACATTTTATGTTAAATATGATCCAAGATGGACTGATTGCTGGAAAAATATGGGTAGAATGAGACACTATATGGCACTGTCTTTTACAATTTTTTTTAAAAAGTTTTGAGAATTTACCAATCCCAGTTAAGTCCCAACATTTTTAACTTTTAATGTACTTACTTTTTTGAAACATGTAATGTTGGTTTGAGATCTACACAGTTTGAATCACAGGTGAAGACAAGGATAGAAAATGTAATGTCTGCTAGGTTTCATACATTGTGAATCTGTTTGTTTAGTAATAAAGTTAATACAAAATAATATACATGTTATGTTTCTGATGCGTTTACGTAAATCAAACAAACCAGCAAAGCATTCTGGGAGGCAAAAAAAAAACAAACTCAAATTATGTCAGCCTCGTATGGTGCAGTTACAGGGAGACACTGCTTCCTATAATCTTGTAGTAATTAGTTCCAAGATTATGGCTAGAGATTTTTTAAAATTTTTCCCTATGATCATGCAGTTAATGTAAATATTGTGTCTCAGTCACCAACAAAGAGCAGATAATTGGTACAATGTATTACAAAACTAAGCAGCATTGATTTTGTGACGTTTTGACATAAGGAAGACATGTTGCTGATTAAAAATGCTCATTCCTGCTAAAAAAGAGCAAGATTTGAAGACTTACCAGAGCATTTTGACAAAGCTTTTACATATAAATATTGCACATCTGTGCATGGAATCCTGGAAATAAAATGCTAGATATCATACATTTTCTGGTTAAAAATGTTGCCAATTCAATATTACAAGTCAAATCACCTCATGCCTTCAGGGACTAAACACTGATTACAGCAACAACAGCTCTGTCAATGGGTATATATACACTTTATTTCTAAAACTTCAGGGATATGCAGCTAAGCTTTTGGAACTAAAAACAGAAACTTCCTTTTAATTGGGTTGTGTATTCTTCTATTTTGTTTTTAGCTAGCCACAGTCCCAAAAATCGTCGAAAAAAGTTGAATTCTCGCATGAAAAGTTTTTCCTTGGACACTCCCGAGCCGTCCAAGCACCTGCTGGCGATTGACGAAACTACAAAGAAGAAGAGCAGTTCCTTTACTAACACTTGTTTTGGAGGTGACTAAATGTTGACCACTGCTAATCTGTCTTTATAATATATATATATCGTACCCTTTCTACTCTATTCAGCCCTACTCTATTCACCTCTGCTAATATCCTCTCCATTTCTGAGTAAATTTCCATTTTGGTATTTTCCTACAATAATAGCACACATTCTGTTTGTTGTGATTGACTTCCGAGATTTTTTTAAAACTAAAACTTGCATCTTCTCTTTACTTTGGTTATTTATATATATTACACACTCTGTCAGTTTCTTTTTCATTGATTAAAACTTAATTAGTCCATTGTTTCATCATTTGTCTTTGGCAATTTTAATATTTTATGCTTATAGTTTTACTTTCTAAACATTTGAGCTGGCCAGTACATTTACTGATCAGAAAGTATTTAAATAAAGAAGTAATATATTATAATAAATTCAGAACATTTTCCTTAGGAAAAGATGTTTTGGAATATTTTTCCAATTTTGAAAGTCTAAGTTATGAATTCAAAGAGAGAAATTCACCAGAGAAATCTTTTCATTTTATCAATCTGTCACTGAAAAGTCTTGAGATCAATAAGGCAACATTTTTTTTGCTTATTTCTGAATTTGTAATAGAGTTGTTACATTGTACAAACATTGCTGATATTCCGATCTTGTTCAAACACTGCTGATCCAACCAATTGATGTATTCTTTATTTCTGTCTAAGATTCTGTTTCCCAGCCGTCCCCCCTTCTTTGCTTATACTTTGATATTTTGAACAAAAAATTGCTCCTTTTGTGAGTGTACCTCATTCACCTTTAGAATTATCTCCCCTGATCAGTGCATTGACCAATGGTTAAATTTCTTTCTGTGATCCTTGGTAATGTTGTGATTTATTTCCTTCTTGGTGATGTAAATGACCCCTGTTGTTCATCCTTGGTGATGTTGTTCCCTGGTTGTGATTTGTCTTCTCTTTTCCAGTAGGTCCGATATCTCGACTGCAGGCTGATTCTGAGGGTAAGTAGAACAACACTAGTGGTAGAATAGGTCCACTACTCCTAATCAAAAACCAGGTGGACATCAAGCAACATCTAAAACTGCATGTCTTCATACCATATTGATGTATATAGCTTTTTTATTAGATGAAACTTTTGCCCAAAGGACAGAAAAAATTGTTTTGTTGATGAATTTTCACTTAATTCTCATGGACAAAAAGCAGCACACATTTTATTTGCATGACTTTTACATATCTTGAGCACAACTGGTATCTACATGTTTCTCTATCAATGACAAAGACAAGGTTTCTGCATGTTCACAATATAGGGGTATTCTCTTTTGAACTCTTATTTATGTAAAGCAAAGTTTTGTTTTTTTTGTGCCTTTACAATTTACATGGTGTTAGAACATTCATAGATCAATTTTTTTTCTGTATTTGAATGTCAAAGTTCAGATGAAACTCCTTCTGTGTCATGGAAATATAGCGACACCTAAGATTGACCTGTCACAGAAGAGTGACCAGGGGTCAGTGTCCACTTCCTTCAGTGCGAGATTTCACAGGACATGGCTTTTACTTTTCAATCATTAAAATTGAGGATCCAGCTACAATTCTATATTAAACTTAAAATATTTCACATGGACATGTATGTTCTACCATGCCACAAAATCAATGGAGAGTTGGAGTAAATATAGTGCTTTACAATTATGTCATTTAGGTACTTACATTTATTTATTATAAGATTATCAAATGCTTTTTTCCACATAATATTGATATTAATTACATTTTGTTTTACAGATCAATATAACTTTCATGTGTCATACAATTTCATGTTCTGAAGTAGTCTATCACTAATAGTTGTTTTACATGTAAATCAGCTGTTCCAGAACATTGGTATTATTACCAGAAGAATGAACACCAGTTGCAGTTGTAGCAGTCTATCGCTCACGGAAGCTTTGCATATTGTTGTATTCAGAGATTGTTAATTTGATTTTCTTTACACTGTATAAGCATTATTCATCATTTTATATTTCATTTTATACAAATTCTGGTTATCAAGATATAATTTTAAGGTTACTGTATTAAAGTATACTCTAAACTGTTGTGAGGGATATTGTATTGATAAAATTCTAAGCCAATAAGCTTTTTCCTCCTTAATAAAACGTGCATGTCCTAGCTGAACTGCACCAAATGAACTGTTCCTCCATCATGCTGATTTTATATTGTCTATTGTCTGCTTTTTAATAGGTTCATCAAGCCCAGATGAAAAATATGTTTTCTCTGCCGCCAATCTGCGGAAGAAGTTCGCTAGTTCATCAAATCGAGCAAGCTCTCTGGAGTTGGAAGATAAAGTCAGTTACAGCAATTCTCCTAAAGATTCTCCTGTAAGTCAGATAGAGTGACACAATTATATCTCATCAATTCATAAAGGGTGGCACAATCATATCGCACCAAGTCCTTTAAGTCAGATGGAGTGACACAATTATATCTGATCAAGTCTTAAAGAATGACACAGTCATATTTCACCAAGTCCTGAAAGTCATATAAGCTGACACAGTCATATCTCACCAAGTCCTTTAAGTCAAGAGTGACACAGTTACATCTCATCAAGTCATAAAGGGTGACACAATCATATCTCATCAAGTCCTTTAAGTCAAGAGTGACACAGTTACATCTCATCAAGTCATAAGTGGTGGCACAATCATATCTCACCAAGTCCTTTAAGTCAAGAGTGACACAGTTACATCTCATCAAGTCATAAAGGGTGACACAATCATATCTCATCAAGTCCTTTAAGTCAAGAGTGACACAGTTACATCTCATCAAGTCATAAGTGGTGACACAATCATATCTCACCAAGTCCTTTAAGTCAAGAGTGACACAGTTACATCTCATCAAGTCATAAAGGGTGACACAATCATATCTCATCAAGTCCTGTAAATTATAAAGGGTGACAAAGTCATATCCCACCAAGTCATATAGGGTGATAGATTCATATCTTACCAAGTCCTGTAAGTCATATAGACTGACAAAATTATATCTCATCAAGTCTAGTTTTTAGTCAAGTACAGTGACACAATAACATGTATATATATCTCAACAAGTCATAAAGGGTGTCACAATTATATCTCATCAAGTCCTGTTAGTCAGATAAAGTGATGCAATTGTATCTCATAAAGTCATAAAGGGTGACACAATCATATCTCACCAAGTCCTGTGAGTCATAAAAGGTGACACAGTCATCTTGAGTCGTAAAGGGTGACACAATCATATATCAAGTCATAAAGGGTGACAAATCATATTTCACCAAGACGAATGAGTCATAAAAGGTGACACAGTCATCTTGAGTCATAAAGGGTGATACAATCATATCTAATCAAGTCATAAATGGTGACTCGGTCATATATCACCAAGTTCAGTAAGTAATATAGGGTGACACAGTTATATCTCATCAAGTCATGAAGGGTGACACAGACATATAACACAAGTCCTTTAAGTCATAGAGTGACATAATCATATCTCAAGTCCTAAAGGTTGACACAGTCATATCTCACCAAGTCCTGAAAGTCGTACAGACTGACACAGTTACATCTCACCAAGTTCTGAATGTGATAAAATCTGTAAGTCCTAAAGGTTGACACAGTCGTATTTCACCAAGTCCTTAAGTCAGATAGAGTGACACAGTTACATCTCATCAAGTCATAGAGGGTGACACAACCATATTTCATCAAGTACTGTAAGTCATTTAGGGTGACACTGCTTAAATTGGTCTTTAATGATGAAATCATATGTCAAAAGAGATACTTTAAACATCCATCAAATAAAATTTCTATGTGGCATACCTCCTTAAAGTGAAATCCCTATAGCTTTGTTGAGGACCACTGAATCACTACGGATAAACTAAAGATATTAATAATTCAATAATTATTCTCGCTGAGTCAACATGAAGATCAGTGCATAATTTCAGGTCATTATAAAGGTCATATATCAAGGTTAAATACACCTGTACAGTTGGGGCATAGAATTTATTTATTTTTATGAAATGAAAAAGATTATAATGATTTGAAAAGTTAGATGATGGCTGGGGAGGGAATGGGGATCACACAGTTCTGTTCTGATACCCAATATTATCTATGTGTGATGCTAAGGGAAACAAATTTAATGGGGGTTCAACTTTCATAGATTTTGCAGATACCCTCAGCCCTCAATGTCAACAAATATTGAAATATAGGTTATTTCTTTGATTTGAGTGCTCCCTTATTAAGTTATATCTCCACTTGGCCCCTACAGATCAAAATGATTACAAAGCATTATAGAACCAGAGTTGTAATCTGACAATGACAATAAGGCTGTTTGTTGATGTACTGTGAAGTATCAATGTTCATGGATTTCGTGGGTCAACCTTATCCATGAATTAACATTCCCACTGACATTTATTTTGTAAAATATTGATTCATTGAATCTACTGTATACACAAGTAACCCAGAAATTACATCCCCACAAAAAAGTAAAATTTTGCTTGCCCACGAACATTGACCCCCACGAATTAAATTATGATTCCCCAGTAGTAGATGTATTTACAAAGCTACAGAAGTTCACATCAGACATTGAATCAATATTCACACATCTTCTTCCTCAGTTTAACACTTGTAGAATGTAATGTTAGTGGCAGTTAAAGTTCAGATAAACAATCAATTGTTTTACCGATCAACATGCTACAGTTTTTCTAACCCTTAGTTTTCATTATTTAACCTAGGCAGTTGTAACGCAAAATTGATTTCTAATGCAAGAGCAGTATTCATTATTTATTGTAATGATCAGATGTTGTATCTCATGTTTCTGTAAATTATTCTCCACTTTTCAGCAGTCAAGACATCCTGTCCTTTAAAGAGTATTGTACTTTTTTAAATATAAGTGAGGAATTTATCATCAGTACTGCATAATTTTGTGAGAGACACCACTTGGGAAATAAAATTACTCACTTTTATTTTTGTATTGCTGAAATAGATGTAAGAACTCTTGAACAACTGTCCACTCATGTATTCATGTTCTTGCAATTTGATGTGTTCGAGTCATCTCATAATAAGTACTCGCATAAAGTAAGGAATAAAGAGTATGCTGATTGAGAGAATTCCTCTTATGCTCTTTAGAAATAGATTCAGCCCTTTTTTTAAGTGTGAGTTGAATCAAAGTAGGAAGTCATCTTGTGACCTTTTTTTCTTGCAGAAAAGCCAAAAGAAACAAAATACTCAGTTGTATGTTGTATTGTACAACTTTAAAGGAAAAGAAAAAGATGACCTTGATCTCAGGTAAGACCAGGTCATTTACATTGGAGAGTGAGTGTGTTGTGTTGAATCTAGCTATAAGTTAGATTTGCTGTTTTGATGTTGACAGGGCGGGGTGGGGAGTGAGTGTGTTGTGTTGAATCTATAAGTGAGATTTGCTGTTTTGTTGTTGACAGGGTGGGATGGAGAGAGAGTGTGTTGTGTTGAATCTATAAGTTAGATTTGTTGTTTTGTTGTTGACAGGGCGGGGTGTATAGTGAGTGTGTTGTGTTGAATCTATAAGTTAGATTTGCTGTTTTGTCGTTGACAGGGGGTGGAGAGAGAGTGTGTTGTGTTGAATCTATAAGTTAGATTTGTTGTTGTTTTGTCGTTGACAGGGCGGGGTGGAGGGTGAGTGTATTGGACAGTTCAGATCCAGACTGGTGGAAGGTGAGTGACCACAACATATACACATTGTACAGGTGGTAAGGGGAACTAGAAAATTATTACATTACAGTAAAACTCAGTTATAAAGATCTCACTTATATGGAAATCTGGGTTATAAAGAAAATTTTACAAATCCAGATAGGTATTCCTCGATCATATGAATATGGAGAATCTTCGTTATTGGGGTTTTTAAGTGACCTCCTTATAATCGAGTTTTACTGTATCTGGACATGTGTACAATCTTTATTAAATAATAAAAATATAACACATGAATGAAATTTTTGTGAGCAGAGAGTCTGGCATGATTACATTAAAATAAATTTCTCATGAATAAAAAGTGATTTACAGTATTTATGATATTTATAGTGCATATCAAGGTAAATATAATGGTAAGGTGGGGGTTTTTCCAAGACACATCCTTGTAATTTTAGTGTGTGTCAGGTTAAGTGAATGGTATGGTAAATTGATTTCCCAGGCACATACTTGTTATTTTTGTGGTTTTCAAGGTAAATGTAATAGTAAGGTGGGTTATTTCCCTGTTATTTTTTTGTTTTTCATGGTAATTCGATGTATAATGGTAAGGTGGATTATTTACCTGTTAATTTTTGTGTGTTTCAGGGTAAATGTAATGGTAAGGTGGGATATTTCCCGGCCACCTACTTGATCCCAATCCAGACTGGACAGCGAGTGTTCCAGGTGATCCACTCCATGCATTTGATAGAGGGAGGGAATGGAATGAAGCTGCACAAGGATCAGGTAACATAACAGAGTTATCTTCTCTTGGGCTGATACTATGAAGTACAAAAGTCATTTCGACTAATTTATCAGTTATCTTCTATTGCCAGGAACTACTACGCAGACTCCTTTAAGATTATCTCCCTTCTCTAAGACAATTCAGTATACGTGAAGATGTATGGATATGTAAAAGCAGGGAACTAGTATCAGTAGTTAGTATAGGGGTGTTAAGGAAGGAAGAGAGTTCCAAATTGTGATGTATATGACGTAGTCTTCTTGTATTTTAAATCTGAATACATGTACTTTCAATTGATAATCTTGCAATCTTTATTACTTCACTTGAGTCAACTCAGGTTACCTATTCCTATCTGTTTTCATACATTATTGTATTCTGTCATCAACTTTTCACATTTTCAATGTCTAAACAACCACCTTGCTAATTTAGACAAACTTGCTACAATGAATTCTTGGATGATGGATCACATTAAGAACTTAACTTAGTGCACAGAATCAAGAAATGACAAAACTTTGCTCCAAATTTTAGTAAACAGTAAAGATTCAAATTTGTTCAAACCATTGGTCTGGTTTACAATGGCCTTTATGGGTGTCCAAAGTTTTACCTGAAGATATACAAGTATATAGTACGGTAAATGCCTGATCTATAATTCTAGTAGAAAATACGGTAAATAGCTGAACCCTCTTAGATTTATTTTAATCTTTAATGATGCTATTAAGCAGGCAACATTTGCATCCCTTAGAACTCTCTAGTTTTAAAGTAAGAACGGTTGGCTGTTTATGAATTAGCCCCAGTTGTTTTCTTTTCCAGATAGTGTTACAGATAGGCGATGAAGAGAAGGGGATGGTTCATATCCAAGCAGCAAACAAAAAACAAGCCATGTGTCCCCTGAAGTACCTCAAGGAGGTCTAATGGTTCATCACAGGGGTCACAGACAGACAGAGTAGAAACACCCCCTTGTGTTATAAATATAATATACTCAGACAAATAGCCAAAGAATTAAGCCTACTGACTGAATGACAAACATATCAAGAAAGACAACTCTGGCATCAGATGTTGTATTAAGAAAGACAACTCTGGCATTTGGTGTTGTATAAGAAAGACAACTCTAGTGTCAGAGATGTTGTATTTAAGAAAAACAACTCTGGTGTCAGAGGTTTTGTTTAGATGGGGATACTGCAGAGAATGGGTAGTTACTTAAACTGATTTTGCTCAGGTCCCTGTGGATATGTTTGGACAGTTGTTTTTGTTACTATAATTAAAAAACCAACGAAGAAATAAAAATCCACGTCATGTATACATCATCCACAGCTATATGTTGATCAGCCATAGTATGTGTTGTTTATAAATGAAGTCTGCATTATACAGGTCTGAGTAACAATTTGTTGAAGTTACTCTTAGGAATACCTGACTTATATAAAACAATCACCAGCATTTTTTTTAAAATAAAGAATGATTGTATACCTGAAAAAATTGCACAATTATACCAATGTTTATACTTTCATGTTGATAATACATGTATAATAAAAAGGAAAAGATTTTTTTTTTAATTGTAAATTTCTGTGCATTAATATGTTATTATTTTATACACAGTTACTTACAAGTAATTAAGTATATGTGTAATTTCTATGAAGTTTATAGACTATGTTATTTTTTGGTTAAACTGAATTGTCAATTGTTACTTCAGAACTTCATATTTTTTTGGAACAGTTATCAGTCATGTGACTAATGTTGTATTTGTTGTGGACCTCACCATCATTCATTATTCAATTACAATGTCTTTCATATGTCAATGCAAGATGTGTCATTCATAGGATCCAGAATTTGATGCAATTTCATGTGTGCTTTGTGTAGGTGTAATGTTAAGAAGAAGGACCATGTGAATTCTGTATGCCCTGTCTGAGTCTCTTTGTGGCTGATGTCAATTTTTCTCCTGATATATAGGGTAATGGGACTTTTTTGAGTTCTGGAAGGGTTTTTTACTGTACACCAGAAGTTTTGTATGACAAAGTTTTTTTTGTATTTAGTATTCTAAATACTGCAAACATGGAATTTTTGCCCCAGTTTTATTTTTGCCCTCATCTATGCTTGGTGAATTCTGAGTTATCTCTCTTTGAACAGAAATTTAAAACTGTTTACAAGTGTAAATGACAATACATTTGTAACACAGGGTGAAAATAACCCTGTACACAGTAGTACAGTGTAACATGCAGGAGAAGGGGGTGGGGTGGGGGGATTAAGATAATTTTTTACACATTCCTTTAACCAAAAACATCTTTTAAATGATTAGATATTTTAGAATTCCTTACAAGAATAACATTTTTTGTAACAAAGTTCTGTAAAATTGGGTTCTATTATTTTGGAAATATGATAACTTCATTCCAAATGAGCAGAGATTTTTTTTCACAACTTGACAAGTGTAATGAGAATTTATATGCTAGTTTCACTGATGCAGTAGAAATTTAAGCCTACAAATTCATGTTGAATACAAATATATATTTATAATTTTATACTGACAATCCATATAAACTACCCCATTGATCAATAATTCATACATACATTTGAAATTGAGTTTAATTTTGAATTCACTGGAATATGTAGACATATGAGTAGTGTAAATAACTTTCAGGGAATACTTTTATTACAAGCTACAACAAAGCAGATAAATCTTAAAGCAAATTTATGTTAATGATTCGCAAATTTTAATCATTGAAACAGGGAGATACTTGGATAAAAGGGGGTCGTTGTCTACATAAATTTGCCCTGTTCAATTTGTCTAGTCATATGTCTAATACTTAGGAATAGCTAGTGTTATATCCCAATAGAAATCCCACAAACGATACTGCTATTTTTTTGTTGGTGAGAGGACTGATAGATTATGAGTCTTCAGTGATGGATATTCAGTTTGTATTGATTGACAGCCATTATATATGATTCCAGTATAACTTGTATATCAATGTGATTACTGTGTCCACAGTTGTCTGCCCTTTCTATTTTACCTATTGAATATGTATGTACACACTAGAGCATTGAATTTATTGGGCTTATCTCCCCTGACAGTTTTTGTTGTACAGGCAAATTATGTGCCAAGATTATAGAAGTCAATAAAGCATTGTTTATGTTTGACAACTTGTTCTGTCTGTTCCATGTGTTTGTATATAACCTATCTCTGTCCCTCATAATAAAGTACATGTATAATACTATGAAAGTACTGGTCAACTAGTTTGACAAGGAAAGTGCTTTATTTTGCTAAACTTAGCCATTAAATCCTTTATGGTATTGCTTGGTCTCTTGAGAGTCAGTTAGGAAATACAAATGCAAGTATCTCATTAGGAAACAAGGCCCCTCTGGCATTCATTAACATCTAAAACACATTCAGCAAATTCATTTCCAACACTAGAAAATCCAGTCAAATGCTTCATTTGAACAGAATCAAGTCATACTGTCCTTTGAAGAATACAGATATGAACTATCTTAGTATAATCTCAAGAATTTTTTTTTTTTGAAAAAAGTGTGGCAATCAGATGACTTTGAACACTGGCGGCCAGGTAGCTCAGTCAGTAGGAGCCCATGACTAGTGTCTTGGAGTCCCGGTTCAAATCCTGGTCTGGTCTGTCGCATTTTTCCTCTCACTGGTTACATTTGTTGCCATGCTATGCCCTTAAAGTGTCGGATGAAAGACCTGCCACGGAAGAGCCTGGGTTGGTATTGTGGGGGGGGGGGGGGGCAAAGAACTTTCAGGTGAGAGGAATGTGGCAATCAGAGAATTTGAACACTAGTGGCCAAATGACTCAGTTGGTAGAACACCTAAGTAATTCAGGATGGCTTGGGTTCAAATCCTGGCCCCAAGACCATTAACTGAGGGCAAGTCAAAATTTAAACTCAATACAAGTTTTGAAATGATTTTGATAAAGATACAAATATTTGTTCATTTGTTTAAATCTGAATATTATGCAAACTTACAAATTTTTAAGCATATATGTTTAAAAAAAAACTCCAGATACCGGATATTCAAAATGAAAATTTTGACTAGTCTTCTCAGATCATGGTCTCAAAGCCAGGGTCTCCCTCATCGGTTACAAAAGAGTAAGAACTTTAAGCTGTTTCAAAATTAGCAGAATTTTGAAAATAATCCACATTCAGTCTATCAATGAAGGCATTATCATTTTTTCAGGTTGTTTCTCCATATATCAAGCTTATTCATAGAGCAATAAATCTCTAACAAAGCATAAAATCCAAGAAATTAAGAAAACTTTATTTTTTTTTTTTTTTAGTCACCACACATTGTTTTATACATCTTAATGTACATTATGTAAAAAAAAATATTGAATCTTTTTTTTCAATTAAGAAAATATGAACACATACATGGCTGCAAGTTTGTAAATTTCACAATACATTGAAACAATATATTTGAAAAAAAAGAATTTCTAATTAAAATGACCTTTTCCTTTCATAAAAAAAATCAACCAAAAAATAAAAACTAAAATGTTGCATGATTGAAAATAAAAATCTAAATGGATACACGTAAACAATGGGTTAAAGGAGGCTTGAAAAAAGTTAGGGAAGAAAGTGGTATACATATAAATTCAGTGAAAAAAAAACAAGGAAAACTATACACATAGCACTATGTGGAGCAAAATTGTAAAATTTCACTGAAATTAAATCATTATTTATATCCACATTTATTACATAAATGGCTTCTGATGTAAATTTAGCATGAGGATGACTAAAGCCATGGAAGCAAAGTGTTAAAGCTGACTATGTAAATATTCAAGAAACAAGAAAGGAATTTGTACCCTTCCAAACTTTAAAGAAATCTACTTGTCTAGGACTTGGTAACAACTAAATATATGAAACACTAAATCAAAAGCTGAATCTTTGGGTCATTTAGATCAGAAAGGAACCTCTGGTGTTTACTCAAAGCACCCCTGAACCCTCTGGTCCCTATGGACAGGGAACCAGCTGACCGTGAGAACTCGAGCAGTACCCCGGGCCTCCCAAAACTAAAGATGACCGCTCAGACTCCTGTACACTGCTGCCTGTAAGGGGGTTTGTGTCTTGCATGAAGCAAATCACACTTGAAGAAACTTCCATTTTGGCACTGTACCATCTACTTGTCATGCCTCCTTGTATCACTTCCATTCTTTCATTCTAGTATTTACAATTAACATACATTCTATCACTTTACAAATTAATAACAATCAAGTGAGCAAAACACAATGTTAAATCAAAATCACTTTGTGCAGAAAACAATATCGGAATTACTCCATACATAAAACTTTACAACTTGCCATTTCTTATGACTTCATTTAAAAGCATGATCACTAAATATAGGTACATGTAACTATGACGCCCACCAAGCAGGTCGGCAAATATTCAACAACAGGAACTCCTGCTAATGACGATATGATCTACATAACGTGTACATTTGTCTTAAAAAACAAAAAGTCATTCCATGTGTATTCAGTAACAGAGGACTGTAAGTCCAAAGCATTGTTTTCCTCCACTACAAACTTATACCACTGCACTGAAGGCTGATACATGTATTGCTTCACTAATCAAATCTTTGTGTTAATTGTTTACAAGTAATATTTTGTTGGAAGATCTACATTTTTGATGAAAGATCAAAACTTTTTAGTGTTGAAATGATATATAAAACATTTTCCACAGTCAAAAAAGCAACTCCTTTAATAAATACAATAAAAAAAGTTTAGGTCATACTTTGTAAAGATTTTTGAGGATATTTGCTGCCAGACATGTAAGATTTTAATCTGAACACATTGTCTTTTTTCTAATGTCTAATCGCTGCCAGATTTATAGAAATCTAGGACTTCTATCTGAACACATTGTGGTTTGTACACCGAGTCTGTATAGTTATACACCATTATAGGTACACCGTTAAAAATAGTTCATGGCAATATGCAAAATACAGAACACATTCTATATTATACAGCATATAAAAAATAGGTCAATTCATATTTACAATTGCAATGTAACACTTAGTGTACATTTAATTACAACAGAGAAGGGTATGCCTCAACAATGATTTAAGATACATATTAATTTGATACTGGGGTGAGGGTTATGTAAAACTGACACACACAGACAGGTTAAATGGCTGGAATGTTCTGAACATGTGGTGACTAGCGGACGGCATTAACTGCTTTGGGTCACTCTGGAATTCTGGGTATTCATGGGACTTGAGCATGTAAGGATTCCATATATGCTACTATTTCCTAAAATAAAGAAGTCTAGAATTGAACTAACAGAAACAGAACTCAAAAGTCAGCATTGCTGAAATCAAATGATATAAGTTCTAGCACTATAACTCATAGATGATCTTGTTGAGACATTAATTTCCATTAATACATATTCTATACCTGTTGCTATGGTAGTGGGGCCTGATAAAGGGGCAGCACTAATGGTAAGTACTTGTGTGGTGGAGGGTGATGTCACTGAATCGATGCGAATCTCATCCCAAATACCAGAGCTCTGAAACAAGGGAGGCAATTCAAATTATGACATCGTAATGGTATACATATACACCCTTAGATTACAAGCTTGAAATTTTCAGTTAGCAGAGTTGTTTGTGAAGTTTGTATTTCTGTTATTTCCTTGTCTTTGTTTTAACTTTTAAATTTATGAAAGAGGTGTTCAACCTGTTTGTGTTGATTCTCTATAATACTACATAAAGTTTTGTGTATGAAGTTAGAATTGGATTGTGTTTTCTGTACCGGAAAGCTAATATCTGGTAGTCCTTGTTCGAGACCGATTCCGTTTTCCAGAATGCCGACATCAGAGGACAGGAAGCTGTTCTTCTCCTCTCTGATTGGCTGACTTGGGGAGGGTGTGTCTTCCTTTGGTGATCCTGGTGGTCCCGCCTTTCCAGCCTCAATTAGCTCCAGTTTATCTGTAATGTAGCAATGAAAAAGTGGAATTTAGTACCGATTATAATGCTACAATGTGAAATATAGTACTTGTGTTATTTTATTACTGATGTAAATGTTTTACTGATCTAAAAGTCACATTTTCATGAAATACATTCATGGTCCAATAAATGATTTTTACAGTTCTTTCTCTGTAAAAAAAAAATGTAATTTAGCAAAGTTCTAAATTGACAAGCAAAGATTTTTGTTGATTTTGAGCCCTAAGCAGTATAGATATAGACCCAAATAAACAAATTTGGAAAAAATATGCTTAAAATTGATAGTTCCTATGGGAAGTGGTGAATTCCTGACAGGACTGGAGCTAATTAGTTTTTCAGACTTTTATTTTGGAAGTATCAAGTACCAGATAATTTGCAAAGAAGAGTACTTAAAAAAGAAATAAAAAAAGCCTGTAACAGAAATGAAGTCAGTATACTATACCTGGATTATTTAATTTTTAAATAAATTTTTAGTCAAAAATAAAATAAAAATGGGACTAAGGAGATTTTGCAAATGCTTATAACACTGAATGGAGTTAATTGTTCAATTTTTTTAAAATGAGTAACATTGATAAAATTGAAATAATATTAAAATTGTGGTGTTAAAATTTATAAAATTTTAATATATTTCATGTACTAATCAATATTTTATTATAATAAATCATAATTTTTTTTTTAAATAAATACTTTAATTAAAAATCATGATTTTTTTTTTTTTACATGAAATATGCCACACCATACAAAGGGATATAATGCCTGCCTATGCAACTGATCTCAATTAATTAAAATTTTCCAATAATTAATCATGCAATCAATGTGATTTTGAAGTATGATTTATGGCAGCTCCCTTTATCAATATTGATGTTAGCAGTGTGTGTATACACCAGCAGATAAGGACTGACATCTTAATGCCCACTGGTCAGTCAGGCCTGACACCTGTCATACCACTGACCCCCACTACAGGTGAGTATTAATGACCTTAATTAATGCTCATCCCCGGGTTCTGATATAACATCCCCCTCATATACACTCTTACAGGGACAAGTAACCCTGCAAGTATTTCACACATGCATGCCTTACATAATAATTATCCATGAATAATTTGTGTATTAATCTACTTAGATTATACATTATGTAAGGCTTGTATGATAGTTATTCAGAATTTCTAGTTTTACTTTTTAATTTCTATTAAACATTTATTTATCAAATAAGTGACAAAAAAGCTTCATTTTTCTTAACACATAAAATTCTCTGCAATATAACAGATCAATAAATGGAAGATTTTATTCTCAAAATACAGACTGCAGTGGGAGTTCAACATGAATTACTCACAATTAATTATTAAGCCAGATTAACTCATTCACTAATCCCCAGTGAGAAGCTAATCATGATTAGAAATTTATAAAAATTCTCAAGGTCTTGGCCAGACACCCTGACTTACTCCACTGTGTTTTACAATTAGTGTCAATTTAAAATTTTACACAGGTGTCATAATCATAATTCTGAGGGCTAAAAACTTCTATGGAGCCATTCAAGTGTGACAAACTGTTCAGATCCCCCTAGGGCACCCCTGATAGAGATCTACACTATGTATACACTTTTATACCTACACATCTGCCTTAAGTAATTTGTGTAAACAAAATCAAAAAAGCCCATTCAATCTCATTATCACTAGGCCCTTTGATCTTACAATCAATTAGATACTTGTATGGTGAGATAGTCTTTGATGTCTGGGAGTGGAATGTTGTTTTTACAAGACATAACAGTACTTTACTTAAGGAAAAGGCCAAAGTCTTAATATCAAAGCTTTAAATGAGGAGGAATTTATCATTTTTCCCTAAGTTAAATGTGACATTAAAATTATTAAATAATTTAATATGACAGTAAATCTTGACATCAAAACATATAATAAATAGTGAATTTACCGATACATCTTTTTCCTATGCAATAAACAGTTCCTTACACAATGACTCTTTCAAACTCTGCAACAATTTTATCAGCATTTTTTTACCTGGATTTGACATGCTTTTGAGAATGGAGTCGAGGTCCTTTTTTCTGTGTTTTGCAATTTCATCCTCCATCTTTAGAATTTTTGCTGGATTTAGGGCCCACAAACAGCCTTTCTTAGTATTTCCATTCATTTTTGGTGAATCCACTTTTTCAAAACACTTGTTTAATGACAAGTTGTGTCTAACGGAATTCTGCAAAAAGATAAGTTATAAATGTGAAGATTAAAATCATTATAAATCCCTTTTATGTAATGTGGGAAATTAATCATAACCATAAAAATATTGTCCTCAGTTTAATAAAATGAAATTCTTCATTTATTGCAATTATAACCAATTCAGCATCTTAATTTTTTTTTTAGCTAATTCATACACTGCATTTTAGATATATATAAGCTATGGAAACTTTTGATAATGTTGAAACAAAACTCAAGACTGTGTGAGAGCAGGATGAAAAATTTTATAGAAGAGCTTTCACTGTATAATAACTTATCCCAACATGAACTTTAAACTTCCCTGTTGTAAAACGGGTCACTGATTTAAATACCCCGGTCCCTCCCCAAGCACCTGTTTAAATATTACAACTAGTACAAATGAAGATCGATTTCATGGAAAATTTGTTAATTTTTACCTTCCATCCATCTGGGGCTGTTTTAAAGTAGGGAAAGTGTTCTCTGTAACAGAAAGAGATAAATTTATAAAACAAAGCACAGACACACTGTATGTTACAAATGCAAATAATTTACTTGATCATATTTCCAAAAATTTAGAATGGTAGCCATTGGGAAACCCCAAAATTCACTTCCTTACAAATAATATAATATAATATAGGAGTTTTAATGAACTAAATTATAAATCATTCTCGCAAATTTAAAAAATTAAAACTGAAAGTAATTCTGACTGAATTCTTCCTGTATACTAAATAACTCAAATCAAAATCTTATTGAATACAAGGTTTTGTTTTTGATTTCTGATAAATCATCATTAAATCATATTAAACTCAGTAGGCACAATGAACACAATATGCAATAAATCCAATGTCACTCACGTCATGAAGCTGTAAATTTCACTGACAGGTAAACTCCCTTTTCGACTATTCTTTAACGCCATGGCAATCAAACAACTGTAAGAATACACAGGTTTGGGGTACACTTTTTCTTGCTCTTCCATCAAGTCGATGGATGACACAGCACTATTTGATAATGACACTGTCACAGGCTTCGATACTCTGCTGGGAGACTGTACAGACATTGCAGTCTCTTGTACTGTAGAATTTATTGTAGTGGCCAAATTGTTGTTTTTCTCTATGTATTGTGGATTAAGGCTGACAACATTTTCAATTTTCAGTCCCAGGGCTTCGGAACCGTACACAGATCCCTGTACATTCACCGCTGTTGAGTTGGGTTTTGTCTGTGTGCCAATCTGTGAGAATGCCGTTTTCTTGGGAGAGCTGTGACGAGCAGGGGCAACTGCTATCGGCATCACAGACTGTGGATTGACAATTAAGTTTGGATTATTATTGTCAATTTCAAAAGAAGAGTCCATGACATTGTGCACTTTTGCCACCTCATTCCACTGAATATTCTGAATCCAGTCATCAATAGAATTTGGTCCAGTGGTGTCAAAATCAAAAGCACTGTTTCCATGGTTGCTATTTTCACTGTTTAGAAAATCGGCATTGGCCAGAATTTTCTCCATCTCACTCTGAATATCATGTGAGTCCATTGAAACAGTGTCTAAAAAATCCATGTCGGATGGATTACAATACGCCATACTTAACATCGTGTTTCTGACCACATCAACTTCTGACTGGAACAAAACATCATCATTTTAGCAAAAAGCAATACATTAAAAATATCACAAAGTTATCTATAACACGTGTCGGCAATATTTACAAATACCTTTTCAAACTTGGCGCAAACATAACGTCATGTTGTATGCGAGAGGAGATTTCGAGGGTAGAGGTAAATTCAAATATCAGACATGACAATCCTCGACTCAGAACATTGATCGATTATTTGCAAACTGAAAATGGATAGATTCCGACCTAAAACTACTCATTTTATAACTTACCACAGCTGTCACGTATCTCCTCAATGTTTAAGATGTATTCAAGTTGGTTCAACTTTTTGAAACAAGGAATTTCGGATCTTATTCCGTGAGCCTTACACATATAGTAAAATCCCGAGATCAACCTAACAAACAAAGGGAGCTACTACAGTTTGAATGGACCGATTTCATTGGTTGACCTATTTTTTCCGATTTGAAGCGGCCTCGATGCTCATTGGCTAATCCATGGCGATGACCTCGTATACACTCCATATTAGTAAAATCACCGACCGTAGCTAACAGGTGCCCGTGCTTGTAAATACGAGCGATGACATGGAAAGAAAGCAATATATCAATAATACAGAATTGATAATTTCGTGAGGGCACATGTACTTTGATTTTATTTGGATGGATTAATGGGATTATCTAAAAAGTTCATATTAATATGTAATTAATACATATAAAATTAATATGCCTTGTATCGTCTAACCAGTTATATAGATTATATTATAAAACAGGGAAATAGCGTTTACTTATCAAATTTATAATAAAATTTACTCATATTCAAATGCGTCATTTATTGACAATACTATCATATCATGGCATAAAATCATGAATATAAGCTGGAATACATCAAATTATCTACAAAATATTCCGTATATAACTTTTCTGTAATTTCAAAAGACCACGAATTCTGTGACAGATAAGTACAAGATTATGTAAAATGACATTTGAAATTTGTTACTTTCTATTTATAAGAAGATGAATTTGAATATGACGACGAATCATCCAGTAACATTAAACAAACAAATCAATAATTAATATTCCACATGTATTATTAAAGTTTAAATTAATAATTGATATGCAATTAGATTGCATGGTCATTTCTTCGTGAAAGTCTCAAATCTATAAAAGAATTATGTTTCTGATTTATTCGGCATTTCAGCACAAAAATTGAAAAACCACATATTATCCAGGCCATTCGGTAGCAACGGTTTCAAATAGGGTTGGGGGCAATTTCGGAATCCCAAAAAAATCTGACAAGCAAAAAAAAAAGGGGGGGGGGGCTAATTTACTGTCCGAATCATGGAATTTGCCATTGCTCGACCTTACAACATTAAAAAGTTGGAGGGGGGGGGGGGGGCAGCATCTGAAGGAAAATTGACTATATAGCAAAATACTAAGAGAAAAAAGGCCCCCCCCACCACCACCACCATGCTCTACGGGCCTGTTATCTTTCTCTGAAACTCAGCCAGTACACTGGGAAAAAAAGTAAACTAGCTTGTTTTTTAAAAAGATTTTACAGATATATGCAAAGTTAATTTTTTTTCAGACTCAAAATTTGATTTAATAAAACAACATGTACAACTCCAACGTTAACATTAATAGGAACCGTCAATTATTGGTGCCTGTGTACATATTCTTTCATGCATTATAATAAACTGAGAAATAAATAACATCATGTTATTTGCGTCTCTGATTATTAAGTTCTACTAATCAATTTTATACGAAAATGTGCAGGGTATAGCGAAAGGAGAGGGATCTAAACTTCCCTTTGAGGTGTGTATGTGAGGTGGAGGGAGTATCTGTCCAGCCTTATTCATAAATATTTTCATATATTTTTACCCCTTTTTTACAAGGTAGAAGCTATGTAACAAATATATCTTTAAAACCATGAAAATTTCAGATAAATCACTGAAATAGAACACAACAATTTAATATTTTTTTTAAAGAATAAATTGAATTATGGCATCTTATCAGAATATTGCCATATGCCATTATACATTGAGGTATGTTGCCAATTACTTTTTAATTAGTATCAATTTAATTATAGATATGTCAACACTTTACGTGCAATGGTTTCATTTCTGGAAATTTACTCCCAGACTTGAGAAATACTCAGTGAAAAACTCAACGGTTTTACAACCTGAGTAATCGCTTAATTATATCTGGACATTTAAAAAATTATTTATTTGAAAATTAATGAATATTTTTTAGATTAGAATAACTGTTTGTTTATTTACGTTATTTACTTCTTTATAAAATGTCTCTACTACGTATTACAATTTTACTCCCGGATTGATCCACTGAAAAATGACAACTGTTTTAATGTATAAGTACATAGTCGATGATATACTCAGTACATTCATTGAAAATAATGAATAATTATACCCACGTCTTAATTTTCAAGCAATGTTCAGAAGTAAGTGACGGATTTAGAATTAGTGTGCATCCTCCTTGAATTTTTCCTTTTTTACATTACACTTAAATCAACCCAAAGAAAATAACAAATACGAATGTGTTTACTGTTTAACTTATTTTAGCTTTTTTCTTATACAACTGTACTTTGTAAATTATGTAATTGAAATGAAATTGGGGATGAATCTTATTACTTTTTTAAATGTATCGACGTATCTATAAAAAACAAAACAAAACTCAAGGCTTATGTATTTGCTAAAATATTTTCATTCAGTCAAAATTTTTGGAAATTTGAAATGCTTTTTAATGTAACAAATATTAATCAATAAAGATATGGTTACAATTTATAACATTATGTATTGAATGAAAAAGTACATCTCTTGGAATTGTATATTTTGGACATACAAAAAAGTAATGGTAGGCATCTTCAATACAGCCAGCACAATGTTCACACATTGGAGTTTCTGCTAAACATTGATTATATAAATCTGCCATCAAATTACTAGCATTATTCCTTATCTGACAATGTATTATATTATATTTTCTTATTCCAAAATGAAAAAGTTCATTACTTTTTCTACAAAAATAGGATTTGAAAAGACTCTTGAATGAACATATTCCAGGAGCATTTTTCATTTAATCTGGCAAGATATTCCACTGTTTGACTGTAGAGGGAAGAAAACTTTCCATATAAGATGTTGTTCTAATATTAGGAATTTTGAATTGTACATCATTGGTTCTGAGATTATAAGAATGACTTGATGGGCGATAGGGTTCAATCAAATCATACAAATATTGAGGAGAATAACCATTAATAATTTTATAAAACAATATAAGCTTATGAATTTTTCTCCTTGTTTTTAGAAGACCACATCCTAATTCATCATACAATTTTGAACGAGAAAAGTTACATCTTAATCCAGTGATAATTCTGCCTGCTTCAACTTGTATGTCTTCTAAAAGTTAAGAATCTTTTTCAGAACAAATGTCCCAAACAACATCAGAATACTCCATTCATTGACTATGACCTTCAAATTAAAAAAAAAAGGCCCATGGGTCAAAATGCTCACCTGAGTAACCTTTATGACTTTAAAATAATTTCTCCTTTATATTCCCATGAAAAAATTATGACCCCATGTTATGACCCCACTCAAACTTTAAGGAGTGGTCTCTGACTCTACAACATGAGGATGCTTTAATATCAATATTTCAATAACCTGGCTCTGCAGTTAGGGAGAAGAACACCCCTTTTCTGAATACATGCCTTATAAAAAAATATTCCAATTTAACCCAACTCTTATCGGGGGTCTGTAATTTGAAAAATAAATAAATCCATACAACTTGGAAATGTTTGCTAAGTAATGGTTCTATTGTGATTCTTGAGAGGAGTTTTTAAAAATTTTCTTATATATTCCAATGTAAAACTTTGATCTCCTATTATGACCCACAATACCTCGGGAGGCATGGTTTTTAACAATTTCAAATCTACATTACGCCAGGAAGCTTTCAAAGCTGTTCTTGAGATGAGCTTTATAAAGAATCGTTCCAATATATTCAAATGTAGAATTTTTATCCTCACTGTTGAGAAGAAGATTCTAAAAGACTTTTTCCTATATATTCCAATGTTTAAATTTGATTCCCTATTAGTCTTGTACTACAAAAGCCAGAACTTTCTATATTGTGGTCCCACCTTACACCGGGGTACCATGGTTTGAACAATTTAGAATTTACACTATGTCAGAAAGCTTTCACATAGTTTCACCTTTTTCTGGCCCAGTGGTTCGTGAGAAGATTTTTGAATGACCCACCCTATTTTTACCTTTTCTTGATTATTTCCCTTGGAATGGGACTTGGCACTTAAATTTAACAATTTAGTCTTTTCCCCCAAAATGTGTTGTGCGAAGTTTGGTTAAAACTGGCCCAGCGGTTCTCAAGCAGAAGTCAAAATTGAGAAAAGTTTACAGACAGACAAGGAGTGATAAAAAAAAGCTCACTTGAGTTTTCAGCTCATGTGAACTAAAACATAACTATGGTCGCCTACACCCACTGTAGCAATTGTTAAGCTACTTTCAATCCATATGTCATGCCCATAACACAGTTAAATTAGGAACGCATAGACGTTACTTGCCAGCTACTGTATCCCCTTGCAAATTTGCTGCGAGGGAATATTAAGATACACTTATACATCAGGCATGTAATATCGATGGGTGGAGGGGGGTCTGCCCCTTTTTATCCGAATATGTTTTACTGTTGATTTAGTATGAAAATGTCCATCCTCCACATAGACACACTTTTAATGGTGAATTCCTCCTTAATAATGTATCCTAAAAAATTCTTCTCAAAAACGTCGTAACCCCCACCCTCAACACGAAATTGAATTTAAGATCTTGTCAATTATTTTTCTGCCACCCTCCCTTTCAATAACGGTTTCAAAAACGACGCATGCTACGTACCTGTACATTGCTTTGTTGATGATGTTCAAGCAATGTGGTCAAAACTTATTGGAATACAGTTATAACATTAAAATTTTTCTTCTTTAAGTATTCTTTACCATCGACCTGTCTATACAGGTAAATTAACATTATACATGTTATAATAGTAATAGTTGATTTACTAGGTGAATTTTCACAACATTTTCTTGTTATAATAGTTTGTATTTACAACTTTTACGTACATAATAATCTCTGAGAGAATTAAAACATCTCTTTTCTGTATTTGAGTCTTGATTCTTCCGTCTATGAGAGACATACAACTACGTTGCTGTTTAACCACGGCAAAATTAATTTTAAATATTTGCAAATTTATACACCAGGAAGTTTCAAATATGATTCAATATTAGGTAACTAAAACTTCATTTCAATAAAAGTTAACAAGAAGTGACATTCTAAATTTCAAATTTATTTCCATATTCATAAAATTTTCTAAAGTACATGTAATAGGAGCTGAACCCTTTATTTTCATTTGGTGCTTACAAAATTTATGTTTGCATTCATGCCTAAATTTCACAACTATGTAAAAGACTTGCAATCTACGGATAAACGGATGAATATTATACGTCATGTTATCTTTGTATTGTCTATATTTGTTCATGAATCACACATGTAATCTTTGTAACCCACATTTCATCTATAAAAAGTAAGTAAACTCCTGTTAGAAGTACATATGTATTTGGGGATCATTGAACAAAATATAAGCGAAATATTATATATTAAACAATAGTGCTAGAGAACATGGAGTAAACCCTTCTCATTCCCTCACACATGGGCTTTTCTTGGTCTTTGAAAAATACATGTATACACCGTACAAAGATAAGATATTTTTTGTCTCATTTTATTTATCTATTATTTACAAGTCTACCTGGTCATTAAAACTATGAAAGTACTTTTTTATGTAATACATTAAAATTTCTTGTGTATTTCTTTTATTCAATTTGACCCATCAATTACATTGTTTGCAGTAATTTGTTAAAATAGGTAAATAGATTAGGAGAATACCTTCTCTCAGTAGAGTAAAAATTTCCCTACAATATCAACAGAGCCCTGCACAGCACAAGAGCAAATGACCCAGTGCATGGTCCAAAAGTTCACAAATCTTGTACAAGCACTCTTGCTTATTACATCTTTGTACTTTGTTTGCCTTAGAGATGCCCAGGAGAAGAGAAGAAGAATTTCAAAGAATTATTGCATTTTCACTATTTAATCAATAGAAGTATTCCTTGACACCAGAACCCCTAAACACAGGCCCTATGAATTATATAATTTTGGAAGAGGCATCCTTGCTCATCATACCAATGAACTTAGTTTCTTTGCTAAATACCCAGGAACAGAGAAGATTTTTTAAATAAAAAATATGCATTTTTACTATCTCATCATTAGAGCCCCACCCCAACACCAGAAACCCTAACCCTGTGGCCATGCATTTCGCAATTTTTGTAAGAGGTACCTTTGCTAATCATAATCATGTGCCTATTTTTTTTTTTTGGGTCAATACCCAGGAGCAGAGAAGAAGTATTACAAAAAAGTAAATGCATTTTACTATAAAAGAAAATCAATAGAACCCTGTCCAACACCTGAACCCCTCATCCAGGGGCTTTGATTTTCTAAATTTTGGAAGAGGCACTCTCGCTCATCATTACCATGCACTTACTTTGTTAAATACTCAGGAACAGAAAAGAAGATTTTCAAAGAAATGATGCATTTTCACTATATGATCAATAGAGACCCACTCTAACTCCAGAATACCTGACCCATGCAGGGACCATGACTTTCACAATTTTGGTAGAGGACTCTTTGCTTATAACAATCATGCCAATAGTATAACTCTTGATGTCCAGCAGTAAGGAAGAATATTTTTAAATATTGCATTAATTTTTATGGTTTTGGTGTAGGGACCATGAAATTCAAATTTTTGGTTCCCCTTACCATAGATGCTATATACCAAAATTTGTTAAAATTGGTTAAGCGGTTTCAGAGAAGAAGCAAACAATGTTCGAATTTTAACGAATGATGCACGACTAACGACGACGGACGAAAACAGGTACATATGTAGCAATAGGACACCTGAGTGATTCAAGTGACCTAAAAAGTAAAATTGTATTAGAATAACATACGTATTTGTGAATCATTGAACTAGATATAAGCACAATTTCATCAATAAAAAGTAAGTAAACCCGTGTTAGAATTACATATATATCTTTATTACTGTGGTTTATTTATTGAATAAAAGTGATATTCTCTCACAGTGTGAAAGGATACCAAAAATGATATTCTCTCACAGTGTGAAAGGATATGAAAGTAAGTAAAAATAATTTCTGGCCTGTCATAAGATAGAGATAGTAACTAAGCATCTTGATAGAGCTAAAACTGCAAATTTCTTCCTAGATATGTTGCTAAAATCCATGCTATCTAATGTTTTCAATCACACAACTTCTAAGCTATGACGTTTCAACCGCTCAACTATGACGTCAAGCCTATGACACTGTGTTAAGACAGAGACAAAGGGAAAATCAAAGAAAATGTAATAAACAGAAAATTCAATGTTTTGTAGATGAATATGGAATTTATTTCACTCGTGTGACAGGATTTTTTGATATTTTCACTCGTGCTTCGCACTCGTGAAAATATTTAAAAAATCCTGTCCCACTCGTGAAATAAATTCCATATTCATCTACAAAACATTGAATATCCTCTATATGGATCATAAAACTAAATATATATTTCAACTATGAAAATATTACATAAGTAAAATCTTGTTAGAATTATATATATGTATTTGTTGAACACTGAATTAAATAAAAGTTCTTACTTTGTGAGGCAGTGTTTTGTCTTTCCATAACAAAGGATATATTGATGTCGTTTTTTGTTTCATGATTATTTCTATGATTTTAGATATTTTGAAAATTTTGAATAAGTCGATAAAATGCACCTTTAGGTCATTTTAAACAATAGTAACAAATTCATAAACATTATGGAAACATTAAATATTAATGTTTGATAAATTAACATCATAGACAAATTTTCATTATACAATAACAAGAGATCTCTATGAATAACTAATCATTGGCTTAATAATATAAAAATATGTGACTGAAAATGGTGGCTATGTAAATCATGTTTTTTTTTCTTGCTGAAAAATTTTTCCGAGGAAAGACACTTTTTCGAAACTGATTTTAAAAAAAAGGATTTATGGCATCCTTTTCAAGAAAAGATTGCAGTCCATTCCTTTTTTCCCCTCTCTCTGCAACTCCAGTGTTATCCTTTTTCTTTCTCCATCTCCAGGGTTATCTTTTTTTCCTCTGAAGTCTTATATTTTCGCTCTCTCCTCCTCCTCCAGTGTTATCGTTTTCTCTATCTCTCTTCTCCAGTGTTATCTTTTTTCTCTCTTCTCCTCCAGTGTTATCTTTTTCTCTCTCCTCCTCCTCCAGTGTTATCTTTTTCTCTTTCCTCCTCCTCCAGTGTTATCTTTTTCTCTCTCCTTCTCCTCCAGTGTTATCTTTTTCTCTCCTCCAGTGTTATCTTTTTCTCTCTCCTCCTCCTCCAGTGTTATCTTTTTCTCTCTCCTTCTCCTCCAGTGTTATCTTTTTCTCTCTCCTTCTCCTCCAGTGTTATCTTTTTCTCTCTCCTCCTCCTCCAGTGTTATCTTTTTCTCTCTCCTTCTCCTCCAGTGTTATCTTTTTCTCTCTCCTTCTCCTTCAGTGTTATCTTTTTCTCTTCTCTCCTCCAGTGTTATCTTTTTCTCTCTCCTTCTCCTCCAGTGTTATTTTTTCTCTCTCCTTCTCCTCCAGTGTTATCTTTTTCTCTCTCCTCCAGTGTTATCTTTTTTTCTCCCCTTCTCCTCCAGTGTTATCTTTTTCTCTCTCCTCCTCCTCCAGTGTTATCGTTTTTCTCTCTCTCCTCCTCCTCCTCCTCCAGTGTTATCGTTTTTTCTCTCCCTCCTCCTCCTCCTCCAGTGTTATCTTTTTCTCTCTCCTCCTCCAGTGTTATCTTTTTCTCTCCTCCAGTGTTATCTTTTTCTCTCTCCTTCTCCTCCAGTGTTATCTTTTTCTCTCTCCTCCTCTTCCAGTGTTATCTTTTTCTCTCTCCTTCTCCAGTGTTATCTTTTTCTCTCTCCTCCAGTGTTATCTTTTTCTCTCTACTCCTCCTCCAGTGTTATCTTTTTCTCTCTCCTTCTCCTCCAGTGTTATCTTTTTCTCTCTCCTTCTCCTCCTGTGTTATCTTTTTCTCTCTCCTTCTCCTCCAGTGTTATCTTTTTCTCTCTCCTCCTCCAGTGCTATCGTTTTCTCTCTCCTCCTCCTCCAGTGTTATCTTTTTCTCTCTCCTTCTCCTCCAGTGTTATCTTTTTCTCTCTACTCCTCCAGTGTTATATTTTTCTCTCTCCTCCAGTGTTATCTTTTTCTCTCTCCTTCTCCTCCAGTGTTATCTTTTTCTCTCTCCTCCTCCTCCAGTGTTATCTTTTTCTCTCTCCTTCTCCTCCAGTGTTATATTTTTCTCTCTCCTCCAGTGTTATCTTTTTCTCTCTACTCCTTCTCCAGTGTTATCTTTTTTTTTCTCTCTCTCCTCCTCCAGTGTTATCTTTTTTCTCTCTCTCTCCTCCACCAGTGTTATCTTTTTCTCTCTCTCTTCCTCCAGTGCTATCTTTTTCTCTCTCCTCCTCCTGTGTTACCTTTTTCTCTCTCCTCCTCCTCCTGTGTTATCTTTTTCTCTCTACTCCTCCTCCAGTGTTATCTTTTTCTCTCTACTCCTTCTCCAGTGTTATCTTTTTTTCTCTCTCTCTCCTCCTCCAGTGTTATCTTTTCTCTCTCTCTCTCCTCCACCAGTGTTATCTTTTTCTCTCTCCTCCTCCTCCAGTGTTATCTTTTTCTCTCTCCTTCTCCTCCAGTGTTATCGTTTTCTCTTCTCTCCTCCAGTGTTATCTTTTTCTCTCTCCTCCTCCTCCAGTGTTATCTTTTTCTCTCTCCTTCTCCTCCAGTGTTATCTTTTTCTCTCTACTCCTTCTCCAGTGTTATCTTTTCTCTCTCTCTCCTCCTCCAGTGTTATCTTTTCTCTCTCTCTCTCTCCTCCACCAGTGTTATCTTTTTCTCTCTCCTTCTCCTCCAGTGTTATCGTTTTCTCTCTCCTCCTCCTCCAGTGTTATCTTTTTCTCTCTCCTTCTCCTCCAGTGTTATCTTTTTCTCTCTCCTCCTCCTCCAGTGTTATATTTTTCTCTCTCCTCCAGTGTTATCTTTTTCTCTCTCCTTCTCCTCCAGTGTTATCTTTTTCTCTCTCCTCCTCCTCCAGTGTTATCTTTTTCTCTCTACTCCTCCTCCAGTGTTATCTTTTTCTCTCTCCTCCTCCTCCAGTGTTATCTTTTTTCTCTCTCTCCTTCATTGTTATCTTTTTTCATCCTCTTCATCCAGTGCTATCTGTTTTTTCTCTTTCCTCCAGTGTAATCCTCTCTCTCTCTCTCTCTCTCTCTCTCTCTCTCTCTCTCTCTCTCAGTGTTATCTTTTTTTCTCTTTCTTACTCCAGTGTTATATCTTATGAATTTTTGTGTAGAAATATCTCTTAGAACATTATTTTGCTACGATTTAGACAGGACATAGAATGTCAAAAACTCCTACTTTACCGGCATACCTCTTAAATTATCTACAATATGGTGCCCCCACTGGCAGAAATTTATACACTTTTAATACATATGATACATATGACAATTTAAGAGTAAATCGAAGACAGGAATATATGGCTGATAGAGACAAGCCAAGAAGTTTTGAATCGTGTCTCCTTTCCCTCCCTCTCTTGGTAATCAGAAAGAAATCAATTTTTCAAAATCAAAGTCCATTTAAACCATGCAAATTAAGAGCAGAGCCAACACGGATCTCTGAAAACACAGGTGGGATCAGATACTATGGAGGATTAAGCATCTCGTCATGTGCTCCTTGTCATGATCGGAAAAACGAAAAATTCTGTATCAGTGTGAAAAAATGGTTTAACAATTTGTATGAAGACGTCAAACATCCAACTTAACGATAGATTGTATATGCTCACAAGGTCAATGTATCGACACTAGAATTTATGAAATGTTGAGTTTAGAACGAGACAGTTGATATTCTTGTATCATCAACTTATTTGTCAAGAGTTTGCTGCATTTTAGAAATTGTTCATAGGTAGATCATGCTCTTTTGTATTGAGTCAACTGGGAGACATAAACTCCATATGCAGGTGATTGTGGTAATTGCTTTATTGCTATGTAATGGATAAATAACGAGATGGTGTTGAATAGTTTAGAGAAAACATTCCCTCCGAGGGCCGAAGGCCCGAGGAGGGGATGTTTTCTCTAAACTATTCAACACTATCGAGTTATTTATATCTTACTCAAAAAACTTCCCTACTGTGGACCCCAAAGAAACATTTACCCATTCATAATCCAACTTTGCTGTAATACAATAGGACCTAGCCCATTTAGATATCCAACAGTGACACAATACAATACCCTAATCGAACACCCCTTTTATTCATTGACTCTTGAGCATGAAACTGCATGGTGTTAATGTCATTTCAAACCTTTCCATTGTACTGAACAGTCATGAAATCAGATGAAGAATAGTTTTAAATCCAAAGTAAATTTACAGAGGTTCAGATAGTGTTCTGAATACTTTTGACCTGAAAGCAGAAGAAAACTACAGGATTTTGATAAAAGGTTGGAAATCTATCATTACATATAAGATGATGATTTGTTGGGGAAAAATGGTTTAATCTTATGGAGTTCCACTCGGACAATACTTCTAGTAGTGCTAAAACAGATGAAAAGATTGTCGGTGTTATGCGGAACCTGCTTTAAAAATATTCCATATCAAGATCTGCAATAAAAAAGGTATCAAAAATAGATGGGCTGTCAATTTATTAAATTGTTTTGGGAAGTATGCTGGAAAAGTATGAGATCAGAGATGAACCTCGAATAATCTGAGAGGATTTGCTGATAACGGTCCCCTGAAATAATATTCAGCAACAGGAAGTGATGTGGTTTAAGGTTCAAGGTAAAAATGTATTTAAAAGCGTGCCAAAATGTGATACTTTCAAAATTTAAGAAAATACCGGAAACATTCTGTTAAAAAAAACATGGATAAGTATTGGATATTTTATTGACGACAAGAGTCTAACATTGTGAAAATTCGGAGGAATTGTAATTTTTGTGAGCATTGGACGTACATTTTTAACACGATTCTAATGGTGTGATAAATCCAAAGTGATTAATTCTGTGTGCATTGGACAAATTCTAATAGTGTGACAAATTCGGAGTAATTGTTTTTTTATTTGCATTGAAAATACATTTTAAACTCTCTTCATTGCTTAATTATGTTTGTATATGCACAGTTGGATATTTAAATATCCAACCGATGGGCCGTTGGATATTTGAATATCCAACTGATGGTCAGTTGGATCTTTAAATATCCAACTAGTGCTGGTTGAATCGGTAAGATATACGTAGACTAATAACAATGGGTGACGTCATTGAAGTTTTTTAAACAACAATAATACTTGCATTGTAAATTTCGCAGTAGAGTTAATTGGCGATTCTTTTTCTTTGGATTTTAATAATACCTGACAAATATAATACGATTCAATCCTGCATGTTGAGGACGGTTACACGTTTTATTTTGACTTGTCACGTGATTTTAGCAAATATGCTTGCAGTAATTGAGGTCATCTATAAATTCCAAATTTGCAAGGGCATAACCAAATTAGAAATCTAAGTTTAATTTATGATTATTTATTAACACTCTGTGCTGCGAACTTAAAATATAGATTCTACTCCCTACTGTAAAAGTGGTAACTATTGGCGAAAGGAAAGTTTGTCGATTTTAATGACGAGTGGAAACTGACGATTTTTTCACTGTCCTTCCAAGACAAAAAGGAGTTATCTTTCTTTGCTTCCTTACACGCACAAAAATTGTCTCTCCCTTGGCTACAAATGAACTTTTGTCAAATATTTCTTACAAGGTATAATTCAAGCTCATAACTAACCGTTCAAAACCGTCATTTAAACATTCAACTGCCAAAAATAACAATATATCATTTATGTCTCCGTGAACACTCAAGATTTATTTTTAAAAGTGCTTTTCCTATACATAAATCTTTTATTTTCGAGTTCTAGACTTGTATAATTTATAGATGAACGATAATGAAAAAAAAAAAAAATGGCGAGATGAAACTGACGAGTTAAAGCTATTCGTCAATGTTTCCTCCTCGTCAAACTTTTCACTTTTACAGTAATTGCTAAAAATACATTTGTTACATTTGTTGAATACTTCGGTTGAATTTTTGCTGCTCAACTACATTAAATATAGATAAACCTAATTTATTTGTAAGATTTCATCAGGTTCGCAGTACTTTTCAAAAACCAAAAAATTAGACAGTTATTCCTTAAATAATCTCTGTAAATCAGTTTGATGTTGAACCTATATCTTTGCTAGATTGACTGAACTTATAGCTCCGGATCCAGATTCAATAAAATTGAATGCAAAATTCATCAAAATCACATGTCAATCTTTAATACTTTTAACATTCCATCATCGAAGGTGACTACTATTTGATCTATCCTACCTATAGTGAATTCCTAAACTGCGTAAAGATACTTATAAAGATACATTGCCAGGTCCAGCAAGTGCTCCACCAAACCCCTGTCTATACTCCTTACAAAAAATATTAACTGCTGTTAAGGAGAAACTTCAGAAGTAATGTGCTACAGCAAATTCTAGAAGTGATATAAACCTTATGTGGATTCTCACTAACATCACAACGTATGACTTTCCTACACTTTCTATTCACTACACCTCACGATCTATTAAAAACTAGCCTTTTATATATTATAGACTACTGCTTCCTCAATAAAAGAATGGAATTCATAAATTTTCTTGTGATTGGTCATCAATTTTACATTGTTAAAAATCACTCTGATCTACACACAAGTACACTCTGTACTCTGAAATTAATATGGAAAGGATGCCGACGTTCCTCATTGACAACATCTATGTAGTCTTCGAAGACCAGATCTTCAAAAAAAAAAAAAAACTGTCGAATTTTCGATTGGCATTAATTATGCTCCTTTATAAGCAGACCTGTTTTTATATTCCCATGAAGAGAATTCATTCAAAAACTTTTACATGAGAAAAAAACAGTTGTTGACCTTCAAATCGACAGATATATCGAAGATGTTTTATTAATTAACAACACTTACTTCCATTCATTTGTAACCGTCACGGTAGCTCAGTCGGTAGAGAGCTCGCTCCGTGATCGGAAGGTAGTGGGTTCAAACCCCGACCGTGACTGGTCTAAGTCGAACAGGTTGCAACTGTTCCTTCGCCAAACGCTCGGCACTTTGAAGTGAAAGTTCCGGGATTTTCGGACGAGACCTTAAAAACCGAGGCCCCGTGTCACGACAGGCATTGATACTGTCACTGCTCAATGGCCCGATTAAAAGTTTAAATTTAAAGTCTTTCACTGATATATGCTGATATCTCTATATGAGTGAAAAATTCTCGAATGGGACACAAACCAAATACAACCAATCAATCAATCCATTTATATGTCGACTAAATATATCCCAGCGAACTCGAAATTAAAGAGTCTGCTTCATATTTGAATGTTTTACTTACTACTGACTAAGGGCCAACTAACAACTAAAGTGTATGTCAAACAAGATGACTTAAGCTTTTTCATCGTTAACTTTCCTTCTTTGTATCGTAATATTTCGCCATGAATGTTTCCATTCTTGCATTGATGAACACAGGATCATATCGACTAACCTAGTGTTCAAAGTATTCTCTGCATACACGATAACCTGCATTAAATTTTATACCACAAATTTAAATCTCCTTAAAACGTTTTAATTGAAATGCATATAATTATTTATCAGTAATTGTTCTATTCAAACTGCATAGCACATCAACGGTTGTTAAACATGCCAAAATTTTACATAACGGTTTTAAGGATACACCAAAGGCTTTTTTCAAGATTTTCAACAATTTTGAGATTTTTGGCTAAGAAAAAAAGTTAATCACTGCTTTATAATGCATGTAAAATTCTTGGTAATTATGAAATGGTTTTCTAATTATTTAACAATAATGAAACATAAACACTACCACATGTGAATAATCCGTTATTGAAGCTTCTGATTTGATCTGTGACTGCCTGCTCATGAAAGACGCAATAAATCACTGTGGCCACTTGGGGAATTCTTCACTAGTCACACAGAGGTTATCAGTAATTAAACTACAGGGACTCTAGATTTAGAGAAAGAGATCTAACAGATCACTGATGACCATAAAATAGGAGGTTGAGCTTAACTCTTGCCATTTTGCCGGGAAATCTTTCAGATTCAGAATTTAACCTATTTTACTTAATTAAAGGCATCAAAATACAGAAAAGAACCTCCCATTCTTGTGAATATGCATAGGAAATATGGCTAAGTGACAGGTATCCAAAGCTGAATCTCCAAGGTGTCATATATTCCTAGCTTTGGCAGATTTTGTTGTGTAATGGGTTTTTGCCCTCTACTGTAAAGTAAGATCAGACAGTTTGTGGTATTATTTCAAAAGATTCAGCTCCCTTATTTATTGACCAATTTCTCTGAAAATTGGATGGGTTGCTTCTCAAATGTGTGTTCACAAAACCGTATCTCAGATTTTTGATATCTAGCTTAGTTTTGGAATTATTGAGGGAAATGTTAATTAGGCCAATAAATTGGTAACATTGAAGTGCAAATGGCTGTAACTTTTGAATTAGAAGATCTATCAAAAATCTGAGATACGGTTTTTAAGTTCAATCTTTAATCTATCTTGAGGCAAAATGACCACTTTGAGGGGTTAAATACAAAAAAGTTGATTTATAAAATATTTATGCACTAAAATTTACATTAATATTTAAATAATTTTTAAATGATTTATTAATTAAAGTTTTAATTAGGATAATTAAATAGTGAATTTAACAAGCTTTCAAATGATATATACTTTTATTATGTTATCTTTGATAATGAAAGAATTACATGCAAATTAAATTCTGGCATTTGGAAACCTTTGGTGTATCCTTAAAAGAACCACACTTTATTTGTAATATGTGTCAAAGCGCCTGTCCATAAAGGAATGGCGGGCAGTTTTTTACTAGAAGCTCAAGAACATATTCAAACATGTGGGACACACAACTTACGTATTGATATCTTCTGTGAAGACTGTGATGAGTTCATTTGTACAAAATGTGCAAAAACAGATCACATAGATCACAACTGGGATACCGTAGCTACAATAGCAAGTTTAAGGAGAAGAAATCTGTTTGAATATTTGAGAACAATCAAGGAAGGGGATTTGTCAAAAATTGATGAAAAGATAGAGAAGGCGTCAAAACAAATCGAAGAAAATAAAATACAGTGTGATCTCGAGATAAAAAAGCTGTTAAAATATTTTGATGAAATATCAACGAGTTTGGAATATCTAAAGAATTCCCACAAAGAAAAATTGAAAGAGAATCTAAGGACGAAGAATACAAAGGTTGATCGCGTGAAGTTTGAGTTAGAAATGAAGAGAAAACAATTATCTGACACTGTAAAATATATAGAAGAGAACAAAAGTAAAATGTTAGATTACGGCTTTATTGATAATCACAGAGAACTGAAACGACTTCTATCTGACTTGGACGTTAATATGAAGAACTGTGAGCATTCAATGAGATACAAAAGAGGGGGAATCACAAATGATTTGCTGAGGTCCATCACCGGACATACTATTGATTTAGACGAACTCAGCGCCACTGAAACAAACTCATTTCAGTACGGAGATGATGTAATATTTCTTCTGGAGGCATTCAACGAGGGTGACTGTTACGTTTGTGATGCTAAATCAGACAGGATAACAACACGAGTAAACAAAGAAGGTGAGAAAACTCAGACATTCTCCATCAATCCCTATGATATGTGTGTGGGCGAAAATAGTGATGTCTACTTTACCAACTATGAGAACAACTCTATCGCTCGTCTTTCTACAACAAGCAGCTTCATGAGCCTTCTCTCATATTCAGGAACCTTTACAACCGTCATCTGCACGGACCCACTATAACACCACTAGGGATCTGTCAGTCAGTGGATGGTGGCCTTCTGGTCACACTGATAGACATGGAATCGGAGGACTTCAAACTGGAATCAAGCAGTAGGCGTCTTTTGAGACATTTATCACTGAAGGGTGACGTTATAAAAGAGTACGAATACCTTGAAGACAACCAAACCAGACTGTTTATACAACCAGTCAGAGTTACACAGAATAGAAACACCCATGTTTGTGTTGTCAACCGAACAAGTGAAACAACAAGTGAGCTGTTGATCATTTCTTCCTCCGGTCATCTGATGTTTATTTACCTTGGTCAGGACTTGACCAATGGATTTCGTCCAAATGATGTCGTGTGTGATTCCCTCTGTAACATAACTGTTACTGACCCAGACAACAATCTCATTCACCTACTGAATCCTGACGGGGATTTCTTGAAGCACTTACTGACAGAGAATGAAGTAAAGACACCGACCTCATTATCCCTGTGTAAGTCTACACTATGGGTTGGGAATGAGATAGGAATTGTCAAAGTGTTTAGAAACATGGCATAATTTACCTTTCCTTAAACGCCCACAAAACAAGTCTGATTTAGAGGCAGTGTTTTTTTTTAAATGATGGGTCGTCATTTCATTAGAAAATGAATCGGTGATTGAATGCTTTACTTGCAATATGAAATATAATGTCTTAAAATGATCTATGTAAATAAATGTATTATATATTTTAACTACAAACGTATTTTAAATCAAATAATCAGTAAAATAAAAAAAAAACAATGCTAGTTTTTTAATGGCTTTTATTTTTTTTAATCTGTTCAAGAAGGAAGGAAAACAATATGCTATAAGTAGTAACTATTTTATTATGTATATCAAATATTGTTTGAAAATTAGGAAGCTTGTGAGGAATGTCAATTTAAAAAAAAAAAATATTCTTCATTTCTAAGTGTATTAACATATGCCCTCTAATTTACAAGTTCGTTTGTTGTTGAACCAGTCCATAGTCCTTTCTAAATGTAGTAGTAAATTTCTTGTAAATAATTCTTGTAAATAAGATGAATACATATCGTTTGTTCGCTTTGTCATTTATTCTGTACGAGTACGGTATATATATATAAATATATATATATATATATATATATATATATATATATATATATATATATATATATATATATATATATATATATATATATATATATATATATATATATTAATTGATTAACTTAACTTGTATCATTTGTTCATTTAACAAAATATTAATGGAATGTACATGTTATTGTGTTGATATGTAACAGGAAAGGAGAAAATGTATTCCTGGACTGAAAATTAAACCCATGACCCCTGCATCACTAGTCAGGTGCTATAACCACTGACCTATATAGGTCAATATCCTCCACCCAACCTATTACAGCTACCTTCAAATATATTTGCATGTACCGGACCTGTACAATGCAACCAAATATACCCGAAAGTCAGAATTTATTAAATTGAGCTTTACATATGTGTACACAAAATAGGTAGACTGTTATTGAACTATTTTGTTATGTTTATATTGACTCAACATATAAAAATTGATTTTTTGTAAAATAATCTTATTTATGTGACCCTAAGATTAATTAATGGATATAACATCATAATTGTTTTTAACGAAACACACTTCACAAATATCTGTCTTGTTTTAAGAGCATATTTTAAATGGATAAAAAAAAATATAATTTTTGAGTTGTCTCTCTTTGCGGACAAAATGAATGCTCCCTCGAGTTCATGACCCTGAATATTGATAAGGTTGGAAGGTGTGTATAGACGATATGAAAACTCATGACCGTAGGAATCGGGGGGGGGGGGCGTGTTGGGCGTGCCCCCAATAATTTTGCCGATATACAGAATACTATGTAAAACATTTTTACTATATGCTTAAGTACAAATAATTGTACTTTAAAGATATAGAATTTTCTATTAATTTGCAAGTTGACAGAGAAATGCCCAACTCTAAACAAGAAGTCTGTGAGCCAATGTTCACTAGTAATGCCCCCGCTCTGACGAGATTATACACTCTCATGAATCCCACCATATGGCATGCCTAAACAAAGAGTGTGCTAAAATTACAAGCATCTGCCTTGAGAAGTTGCTGAAAAAACTGACAGAAATTTGGTACGGACAGACGCATGGATAAACAGGAAGTTGACATTGGATTTGTACAAAACATGACATGCTTAAACAAAGAGTGTGCTAAAATTTCAAGCACCTGCATTGAGTAGTTGTTGAAAAAACTGTGACGGAAATTAGGTACGGACAGGGGCACGGAAAAAAGGAAATTGACATCAGATTTATACAAAATTGAATCCCACCACATGACATATCTTGACAAATAGTGTGCTAAAGAACAAGGTTCACTTAGGGCCTTTTTTGGCCCTGTGAATTTCTGAAAAACTGAAACTGCTTAGTTTTAGTTGACAATGCATTAAATTTCATTTAGACATTTGGCGATTGCGAATCTACCAAAAATGACGTAATTTTCTGGCATTTCTGAATTATGACGTCATGAAATGTCATTTTCCTCATATCCTAAAATTCTACAAAAACAGTCAAGCTATTTTTCGATATTTAACATAGAGCGCAATCTCTGATCTAAAGTATGCAATTATTTACTGATAGACCCGATTCTGAGGATTGCAAATCATGCTTTATTTTTTAGATCAGAGGGTGCACTCATATTATTTTTCTTCTCTGAAGGTACTTATATATACCTGTTTTCCTTAAAATTAAAGAACAATTCCATTAAGCTTGTTTTCCAAGACCTGGACTTTAAGGAGAAAATTTTTAATTGGAAATGAAAGCACTAAGTCTCTACTTTATCTTGATGTTTAAAATGGAACATAAGGTATTAGGCAATAAATTGGTATATCTACAGGGCCATTTTATTACGAAGAAATGGGCCTCTTCTAACCAAACTTACCACAAAGTACCCTTCGGTAAATGGGATTCAACTTCGTTCAAATAAAATGCCTTGCCTTTTTCCAAGGAGAGATTATTTCGAATCATTGAAAAATTAATGGAATCTCTTAGAAATCTTCTCAAGAACCACTATCCCAGAAAATATGAAAATTGTGGAAGCATTCTCAGGTAGAATAGATTCAAGTTTATTCAAATCATGACACCCGGGGTTAGGGTGTGTCCTCAATTGGCGATCAAAGTTTTACATGGGAATTCTCAAGAATAGCAAAGCCATCATTAAACATAATTATACAGTCATCTTCCGGTAGCTTAGATTCAACCAAGTATGTTCAAATCATGACCCCGAAGGTAAGGTTGGGCTACAGTGGGTGATCAAATTTATACGTAGGATATATAGGAAAAATTCTAAAGAACAGCAGAGCCTCGTCTTATTAATTCAAAAGCATCATCATGTAGTGCAGATTCACGTTTGTTCAAACCATGTCTCTCGTGGGTAGAGCGGGGGCACAATAAACCAAACATGAAGGAATTCTTTTTAAAAAAAAAACAACTTTTCTTAGTTTATACTTAAGTTTGTTCAAATCATACCGGGGTGATATGTTAGGACCACTTCTATAATTGAACTTTTTAATACTGACACTGATTTCTGCATTTTCCTAGCCAAAGTGCTCAGGTGAGCGATGTGGCCAATGGGCTTCTTTTAGTTAATTCTTTTCCCCAAAATTGAACGTCCCTGTGAATTTGGTTTCAACAACTACAAAAACAAATGTTCTCCTAAATTAGATATCCATCCTGGGAAATGCAACGTTTTTGAATGGACACATCCGTAATTTAGATTAGTTTTCTAATATAAAGTATATTCTGGCAAAAGTATATCTGATATTCTTACAGGCCTAGATTGAACAAAACATATGTTGTTTTAAAAAATATATGCTTTGCTATGGAACGTCACAGCTGTCTTAAGGTTACAAAATATGCATCATAGTGTCAATTTTACATAACATTAAGTCTTCCCTTTATATTATTAAGTCCACTTGTCGCCCGCGTGGCGAAGTGGTTAAAGTGTCTGCTCTAGAGTCGCGGATTAAGGAGTTGATGGTTCGAATCCCACTATGGGACGTGGAGACCGGTCCTTCGGATGAGACCGAATAAACCGCGTCGCAGTAGATGCTGGATCGAAAAATATCCCTCACTGCTCAATGACCCTGAGTGCCGAGTATAGGTCAAAATTTGTAGCCCTCCACCGGCAAGTGGTGGCGTCTCCATATGCGTGAAAAATTCTCGAAAGGGACGTTAAACAACAAACAAACAAACAAACAAAAATTAAGTCCACTTAATATGACGTGTAGTATAGAAGCTTTTTATGCTGTCAAATTAAAATACTACATAGTCGGATGCCTAGAACATTAAGTCTTCGCTTTATATAATTCATCCCACTTTATATGTAGAAATTTTATATATGCTGTCGAATTAAAATACTACATAGTTGGATGCCTAAAACATTAGGTCTTCCATTTATATCATCAAGTCCACTTTATATAATATATAACAAAGAAGCTTTACTATGCTGACAAATCAATGTATTACATAGTCGGATGCATGAAATATGTGGAGATAATGAACAGTATTCGAGCTCAAAAGTTCATTATACATTACAAAATAAGAGCAGAACAAACACGGAGCTCTAAGACATCAGAATTGGGATCAGGTGCCATGGAGGAATGAGCATCCCCTGCCGACCGGTCATACCCGCCGTGTGCTCCTTTTCATGATCGGGAAACAAAAACCGGATAAATCCTTCCACAATTCAGTGTGTAAATAATGGTATGAAAAAGGTCAGTCAGCATTTGACTTAATGATAGATTGTATTTGTTGACAAGGTCATTGTATATGGTATATTGCTGCATAAGTAAGGGAAGTTGACGATTGAAAAGTTAAAGTCACCACAATTATCATAAAGCTTTGTTGTTAGATTACCATTAACGTCTTTTTCTAGTAAAATATCCAAATATGAAACAGATGTGTCAGACTCTGTGGTATCTTTTATCTCAAGCTCACTGGGATATATCGTGTCGACATATGAATGGAAATAACCATTGTTAATTGACAATACGTCGTCGATATATCAAAATGTGGAGTTGAAGGCCACAGCAAGTGTTTTCTTCTCTTCACGTAAAGATTTTGAACAAATTCTGCTTCATATGAATAGAAAAATAGGTCTGCTAATAACGGGGCGCAATTGGTGCAATTGGTACCCATGGGAAATCCAATAGATTGTTGGAAGACCTGATCTCCAAAAACCACATAGATATTGTCAATGAGAAACTCGAGCATCTTTTTAATGTCAACTTTAGAGTACTTGTGTGTACAATCAGATTGTTTTTTAACAAATTAATTTTGCAAATGACCAATGACAAGGTAAGTATATTTACGAGTTCCATTTTTATTGATAAATCAGCGTCAAACATAAGACGTTAACATAGGTAGTGACTGTTTTTTCGACAAGCGCCCGGCACTAGAAGTGAAAGTCACGGGTCTTTCGGATGAGAACTTAAAACCCGAGGCTCCATGTCCCGGTAGGCGTTGGCACGATAAAGAACCCTCACTGCTCAATGGCCCTGAGTGCCGACTATAGGGCTAAATTTGAAGCCCTTCAACGGCATATGGTGACGTCTCTATATGAGTGAAAATTCTCGAATGGGACGTTAAACAACAATTAATCAATCAATCGATCAAAGTGTACAACAATTACTGGTATACTATTAAAAACTTTAAAGTGTTAGGTAATTCACAACTAGCATTAATGAGAGTCAAGTATCTGTGCATACCAAATTATGTCAGGTGTGCATGTTTTGCTCACCAGCATGGGAAAAAACTTTTATTAGTATATGTTTCTCTGATTTTTATTTTGTAATATAAAGACACAAAGAACATTTTATTTTACAAAATAAATTTATCAATTACAGAGTCTGTCTGTGTTTCTGATCTATATTTCTATGGTCAGGAGTGCAACACATTTTTTTTAAAGATCCAAGTTAAACGATGAAAAGACTTCTATTCATACCAATAAATATTCTTTAATCAATAATGGTCTGTATGAATAATCAAGTACTAAATTATGAAGTTTTATTATTGAAATCTGTATGTTCTTTAATTTGATCAATCTAGGGGTTTTTTTATCTTTTCTTTGAAAAGAAAATAATAATAATTTAAAAAAAAAAACTGAAAAATTGTTATAAAATTCAGGTAATTCCACCTCAATTTCACTGAAACAACAGAACATGTGCTGATGTAATTCATGTTTCACAATTCTACTTTAAAGACTTGCATCAAAATTATTAGAATTATTGCTGATCAAATATCTATAGATATAAAGAAACAATCGATGAGTAGTATATACCTGGTTGTCTTCAATTGCTTACGGTGTTTGTCTTCTAAATATATTTTTAGCTAGTTTTTTGACATACATAGGATATAATCCAAGATATAAAGCCAAGACTAAATACTTCTATGTGTTTTAATCATGACGTATTGAACCATAAATAAATGCATGATTTCCTTACATCTTATTTTGCCAACACTTTATGAATTTTTGCGTTCTATGAGATTAATTTTAAATTTTACTGCAGTCAGGAGTGCAACAAAACTGTTCTATAATTATCAATGATCTTCATCTATCTTCACTAAAAAATTAATTGCAGAAAATGTTTGATATCATTTGTAGTTCAAATCATTATGTCTATCATCAAATTACAGATATTGTTTGGATATTTTACAGTCAAGTCGCAGAATAGTTTTCTTCACTTAAGATATATTTTAAAATATTTTATACACAAGCAAAATAATCATATTTTGAAGTCTAGAAAATATGAAAAATTTGCCGTAAATGATAAAAAATATTAAAATTACCAACTGATTTACAAACTTTGAGTTACTGGTATTGTGTGTTATAATTTTTAAAACAATGTTAAATAAAATACATATCAGATGTCAGAAGTGCAACACGATAATGTAAAATAGGATCGCTTCTAAATCTAGTATTTTTTGTAAGAAAACGTGTATCAAAATTCTTTTTTGGCTTAGATTTAATGAATTTCATATTTAAACTTTTTCAAACTAGAATTGAAAAAAAACATGTAAAATAAAACAATGAAAAGTCAATATCTTTCACATATACAAAAGAAGAAACTCAATCCAGGTTTAGATCTAATCATGTTTATCCCTGAGACCAATTTGAAGCATAAAAAACTATAATTTCTTTTGATTGTGTATTTTAGAATGTCTCTCTTTTTTTTTTAAATAAAGTTTTACAAAAAAAAAAAAAAAAAAAAAAATTCTGAAACTTGTCTATGCTACTGGAACTTCAGAAATGTTGACAAGAATGCATGTTCAGTATAATGACATAAATAAAAAAAAAACGTTATGGATATGGTTAGTTGATTTTTTGAAATTTAATTTGATGGTCATTATTTTTTTTTAATTCACCTACAACTACATCTTTATATTTGTTCTACAGTTTTTATATACACCCTCAGATTCATCTTCTTAGCAGAGACCATTTTTAAACAGTTTTCAGCTCAATGTAGTGACCATGCTTATTTTAAAATTGAATTTCTTTTCGAAGATTATTGGTAAAAGCATGCATTTTTCGGCTATTATGAGTTTTTAAATAGTACTTCTAAACAGTGAAAAGAAAAGAAAATTAAGTGCTCCCACATTTATGATGATTATCAATAGGTTGGATTACTTGAACAACCCTAGTATTATCATAATACTGTTTTTAAAGGTTTACTTATGGTGTTATATAAATCCGTATCAGCCCTTTTGATTCAGATCAGCCAAGCAGAATGCATATCAACCCTGGAAGCTGATACGGCTGTTGTGACGTCAGGTCAATCACATATGCAAAATACCTGTATCTTTTACTATGTAGGGAATATTATTTTGGCATAGGACTGTTTCATCTATTGATTTGCTGTGAGAAAGATGGAATCAGGAGAGGATGTCCTATACCTAGAAAAAAACTTAACAATATAATGCTATAAAGCGAAGACCCAAGAACAGCCATGCCATGATGAGACAGATCAGTTGTGAATATCCTCATGCAAATTCATAATGGTACAAATTTATGGTCCCAGAGGGGAGAGGGGAGGATATATACGGATAATGGATATATGCAACTATAGGAAATAAATAGTAGGTACTCAAGGCTGCAATCAGAGAATATGTTTATTTACGTATTTTAATTGTGTCTTGGAGAAGGCTGTGGCCCATGGACTTCTTATTTGATAGGCAGTAAGCACCTCTCATTCTTGGTCGACATGCAAATTGTTTTATTTGGACAAAATGTGTCAGGCTTTATAATGAGAACTTCATAAAACCCAATGCAATGAGAAATGTCACCCTGTGATTTAAATCTGTTGTTTGAAAATAATGGAAGTTCAAATAAATAACCTCCATTCAAGGGTTTTCAAAGATTTTAGAGTTCAGATATTACGATAAATCTTCAATAAAGTTGAGACTCTTAAATGTAATTTATGTTTTTCATTAATGTCCAAACGTTGACATTCAGTATTTGTCAAAACAGTGTAAAATAACATATTCTTTTTTATGATTATAATGTACTATCAACCATTTGATTTTGAACTTATTTCTATTTATATCAATATGATATAGACGAATGGAAAGAAAATTTTTATTTTGGATTTCAAATATAAAGTAAATAAACTTTATTTTCATTGATGTCGTCTTATTTGGAAAAAGACATTGAGAATCATTTGAAAATCATCCTTCACAATACACATAACGATCCCGATCCCTTCAAGTTAAGAATAAATGGCACCGGTAGGGGAATAAAAATAACCCCTTATGTGAATTTTCATTTAAATAAAAGTATCTTTCATATAGGAAAATGTTTCAAACTATTTTGTTTTACCTTATGCTGTTGGAACAACTAATTGTTACATTCTATTATTCAAATTTGATATAAGTATTGTTCGATATATATCTAATTACAAGTCGCTATAGGCACAAGAAAATGGCGGTAGGTAAACAGGAATACACTACTTGGTCTCCGCAAGAACACAGCACAACTTGTGACAAACATAGTTATCGTATTGGAATATTTTGTGACGATTGTGATGAATTCATCTGTTCCAAGTGTGCCAAAACGGATCACAAAATCCACAACTGGGACACATTGGCCACGGTGGCAAGTCAAAGAAGGAGAGGTCTGTTTGAGTACATGACGAAGATAAAGGAAGAGATGCTACCAGAAGCTGTGAAGAATATTGAAAAAATATCAATTAAAGTGATTGAAAATGAAATTCAATGTGCATTGGATATGGAAAAATGGCAAAATCATTACGATCAGACCATGACAAGGTTGACAGAGATCAAGATGCGCCATGAACAAATGTTGAGAGAAAATCTGACAAAAAATAACGAGCAAGGGAACAGTGTCATATTAAAATTCAATAGAAAAAGAAAGCAGTTGGTTGATTTTATAGAATTCATGGAGGGGAATACAAGTTTTATGTCGGATTACGTCTTGATCGACAACCATAGAGAACTGAAACGATTAATGGCTGACTTGGATGTCAAAGTAAGGAATTGTGAATATTCAGCGAGATACTTGAGAGGAGAAATTAGTGATGATGTAATAGAATCAATCATTGGGCACACTTTGGATTTAAATGACATTATTGCTACTGAAACAAACTCATTTCGGCATGGAAATCACACCATATTTATTCTTGAGGCAGTCAGTGAGGATTATTGTTACATTCGTTCCACGATGTCAAAAATCAAAAAAGTAAACACAGAAGGAAAGGAGAAATATGAATCCGGAATAAATGCTAAAGATGTGTGTGTAAAAGTTGATGGTTGTGTTTATTACACAGATTATAGGAACAAATGCATCTCAAGTCTGTCTACTTATGGATATCTTTCTACAATAGTCAGCACTAAACCCTTAACACCTGGAGGAATTTGCTTTTCTTTGGATAGAGGACTCCTGGTCACATTGACAGATGAATTATCAGATGCATTTAAATTACGATCACACGGTAGACGTTTGGTGAGACACCTGAAGATGAATGGTGACCTCATACATGATCATGAATATCAGGAGGATGGTCGGACCAAGATTTTTATGTTTCCAACCAGAGTTACTCAGAATGGGAATAAAGACATCTGTGTTGTTAATCAGTCAGGTGAACGAACGGGTAAACTGGTTATTTTGTCTTCCTCTGGTCGTGTTAGGTCTATCGCGGACAGAACCTGACAAGAGACTTCAAACCAAATTGAGTGGTATGTGACTCTTACTTTTATATTCTTGTTAGTGATTCGCTTAACCACAGGATCCATATCCTGAGTCCTGACGGAGAGTTCCTAAAGAACTTACTGACAGAAAATGACGTTAATTTCCCAACTGCATGACTCTTCACTTTCGGTCGGGAATACTAAAGGACTTGTAAAAATATTTAAATTCAAAAGCATGGGAACCTTTTCGTTAGACGTCGTTCTGGAATGATGCAATGTAAATAAATTATTTATATAGAGGAAAATAAAACAACCATGGTTTATTTTGATATATTGGCGATTGTTGATCGTAGCATATTTAAAGGCAGCAAGGGGTCGCCAAGGGTACAGGGCGATCCCGAAATTACAACAAGCAGCAGCAGCATTCAATATAAAAGCATATACATGTACTATTGATAAGCAGAATATAGCCGTTCCAAGTATACCGCAAATGGTAATAAAGATTACGATTATATTTTATCTATTTTACAAAAACTTTAAATGAATGTGCATTTATCGTTCCGGGTTAACAGTGAACGTTACTGAAAATATTTTAGCGAACAAAAACGTTCATGAATTGGTTGAAAGCAGCACACAATTTCGCAGTAAATGAGTTTTTTCTTACGCAGCAGCATAACAATCAATTTTAGCATCAGTTGAATGGCTCTGCGCAAATGAGGCAGTGGACAAAATCAAGTCAATAGAATGCCATGACAGAATTCTTCAAGTGAAGTTGAATACCCAATCAAAAATCTAAATGATAGAGAAAACCCAACAGCAGGCAAAACTCCTTGAATTTGTGTAAATCATAATGCAAAATCACACCATTGCACTGAACCCTAGAGGTAGGATGGGAATTTTGAAGGTCTCTCAGCGGGTTCCAGTAAATGTTCTACCAAGCCTCTTTTTTTACTCCTCACTAAGATATTAACGGTAGTGAAGGAGGAACTTCAAGAGTACTGTGCAACAATATGTTCGAGAAGTGGTGTAAGTCAGATGTGGATATTAAAAATTCCAAGGAACTTTGGGAACATTTGAAATCACAAAAGTTTACCAAAATCAACAACATAAAACTTAAATTTCAACATTATATACAACTATTCCCAACGATAAATTAAAGTCCAGACTTTCTGATATCGTTGACAGCTGCTTTTTTAATAAAAATGGAACTCGTAAATTTACTTACCTTGTCATTGGTTTTTCACAAAATTATTTTGTTAAAAAGCACTCTAATTGTACACACAAGTACTCTGAAGTTGACATGAAAAAGATGTTTGAGTTTCTGATTGACAATATCTATGTGGTTTCTGGAGACCAGGTCTTCCAACAATCTATAGGAATTCCCATGGGTACCAATTGCGCCACGTTATTAGCAGACCTTTTTTTGTATTCATATGAAGCAGAATTTGTTCAAAATCTTTTACGTGAAAAGAAGAAAACACTTGCTATGGCCTTCAACTCGACATTTAGATATATCGACGACGTATTGTCAATTAAGAGGGCTGGGTGGTCGTGGCCATTTTTAGACTATATTGATCTCCTTTAGAAGAAGAGCTCCATATAAAGATATACAAAAATGATTAAATTTTAAAACTAAAATGTATGAATTTTTTCTTTGCCAAATGATAGTTGACAACTTAAGATATCATATCTAAAAAAAATAAGTTATATCTGATGGTTAATTTGTTGACCCCCCCCCCCCCCCCAGCCTCCTTAACAATCATTATGGTTATTTCCATTCTCATGTCGACCGGTAATATACCGGTGAGCTTGAGATAAAAGATACCACAGAGTCTGACACATCTGTTTCATATTTGGATATTTTATTAGAAAAAAAACATTAATGATCATCTAACAACAAAACTTTATGACAAACGTGATGACTTTAACTTTTCAATCGTCAACTTCCCTTACTTATGCAGCAATATACCCTTATCACCTGCATATGGGGTTTATATCTCTCAGTTTATTCGATACGCCAGAGTATGCTCTACGTATGAACAATTTCTAAAACGAGGTAAGTTATTGACAAGGAAGTTTATGAAACAAGAATATTAACAGTCTCGTTTAAAGTCATCATTTCGTAAGTTCTATGGTCGATACAATGACCTTGCCACCAAATACGTATAAAATCTTTCATTAAGTCAAATGCTGACTGACTTTTTTCATACTATTTGTTAGGCCAATATTTACACACTGAGTTGTTGACGGATTTTTCCGTTATTTGCCGATCATGACAAGGAGCACACGGCGGGTGTGACCAGTCGGCAGGGGATCCTCACTCCTCCATGGCACCTCATCCCACCTCTGAAGTTTTATAAGTCCGTGTTTGCTCTGCTCTTATTTTGTAATGTTTAATGGACTTTTGAGCTCGAATACTGTCCGTTATCTCCACATCTTTCACTGAAAGTATATTTTTACTTAAATCTGTCTAATAAAAAAAATTGTGTAACTTTCGTTTTTTTTGGGGGGGGTTACAGGGCAAAAAGGGGGGGGGGGTTAGAGGGTAAAAAGTAGGAAATTGCGGGTTTCTGATCCCGATCTAATTTATTTTCTAGCTAACCAACTCAAATAGCTGGAACTAAGTATTTCTCATAACGTAAGTGTATATATTTTATAAATTAATAGATGCTATTGTAATCTAACAATTCTTATACGTATCTAAAAAATTAAATAAGGAATATGTTTGAATTTTAAAAAGATATATATGCAAAAAAGCTTGTATCATCGACACATTAAATATTTTAAATATCTTTAAATTAGAGAAGATATTATGAGAGGTTTATACTTAGATGTAACATTTTCGACACTTGCTTTTAGCAATACCAACTAATTGGGTCATGTTTTGAATAATAAAGATTTTATATTGACGGCACACATACCGTGTTAAACATATCCTGAGTTATATATTTAAAAAAGAATATTTGTTTTACATTTTGATTTCATTTCAAAAAACATTGTATGCATACAATGGACTTAATGTACATGTTGTTTCATTTAATTTGCTTTCACCTTATGTCAATAAAAAAGTTTGGTCTACATCACATTTGCACAACATATGTTCGAAGAAGCAAGTCTATATCTGGATTCTTCAACTCCAGAATGCAGACTAGTGTTTATGAATATGAATGTTGGTCAGCACAGACGCCACAAGTTACGAATCAAACTGACAGTTCTTTAAGCTTAAATTTGTCGATAAAGACAAATATGCTGTAAAAATAAGTAAAACTCCTACAAAAATTCAGATTTGCATTTATTATATATTGAAGGTCGAGGTCTGCACCCTGCATTTTCTACAGATATTCCCCAACTGTTGAATCTAAACTTTTCGATCATAAACAAACCCTACAATGCCTATATATAGACCATCTAAAACAAATCTTTCTCAGTGTTATTATATCGTCCATAACGAAGTGGGGCGACATATGTTTTTGCTGGACTTAAAATTTGGTCCGCTTATGTTCTCGAAAATGACCGGGAGAATCTAAATGAAACTTCATAGAAATGATAATCAGCAACTCTAGATGTGCCATTTACATATGAAATTTTCAAAATGACCATCGTTTTCATGGAAACGGGCAAAATATGCATTATGTTTTAAATTTCTTTTTCCCCAGTAATTGTTTAGCCATTAAAAAAAACTTTACAGGATTGTTCATTGCATTCTGTCAAAGTGATTTCTACCAAAATATTGGAATCGATTACATAATTTTCAAGTTTGTAGCTATATCATAGAAAGGAAGAATAAGTTAACTAGTAGTCTTCAGCTCGTTCTTTCTATCGGGAGATAGAAAGACTGACACGCGGCAGTTGCGTATTGTCATTGTTCAGGTACGCCAGCTTACGAAACACCGTGTCAACTTTTTGCATTCTTGTTTATCCTTGCTTTCAACTCCAATAATAGAGCGCTGGGATCAGTTGGGCTCGACACATGCTATTGCTTGCAATCTCAAATTCTTTCAACTACAATCCTGCTGGATATATCATTACTGGTGATAGCAACAAAGTTGAAACTGTGCTTGAAAACGTTCATCATTGAAAGGTCCAAATTTCAGGGACCTCCAATCTCTCAAATAGCGACAGAACCTCATTAATAATATCAATACCATCGAGGAGTGTGCCAAACATTGGGCTTAATATGAAGAAGACCTCTACAATTAAAAATCAAATCCCTTTTCAGTAAACTTCGGGTGCTAAAAGTATAAAAAGTCCATATGAACAGTATGTTATGGTTTCAGGTGACTTGTAACGATTTGAAATTTTACGATGACTTGTTGGTAAAGGACAATTCTGGGTCTCACTTACAATTAGTCACTCCAAGGAATTTCAGGAAAGAAGTAATGACACCGTCTCATGATAATATTTAAATGATCATCTGGGTAGAAAGATTGATTGATTGATTGTTTCATTGTTGTTTTAAATCCCTTGCGTGAATTTTTTCAATCGTATGAGACGTCACCAAATACCGATGAAGGTCTTCAAATTTGGAACTATACTCGGTACTTAAAGCCGCTGAGCAGTAAGGTTGCTTAATCGTACAAACACCTACCGTTAGATAAGACCTACGCTTTTGAAGTCATATCTGAAAGACCGGTGACTTTCATTTCTAATGCCGGGCGCTTGGAGAAGGAACAGTCACTACTTATGTTTACGTCTTAGGTTTGACGCGGCGCGGGCAAAGAGAATCGAACCCGGACCTCCTGATCACAAAATGGGGTTGAAAGAAACACATGAAAAAATTGTTGATATTTTTTGGTTTAAAATGCGGGACGCTCATGTATCAAGCTGCAAAATTTTTGAAAGAAACAGAAACCCTATCAGGTTGCTCAGGCTAAGATAGTTGAGAAACATGACTCCGTGGTCACCTCTAGAAAGACTCTCTACTGACATCCTTGGGCCCTTATCCGAAACACCAATAGGAAACAAATATATCCTAACAGTGATTGACTATTTTACTAATTCGGTGAAGATGTTTTCCATTTC